CCGGGAGCGCGAGCGCCAAGGACCCCGCCGGCCGAGGGCGCCCCGTCCCCGACTCCGGGCCCCGGCCCCGCGCCCCGGCCCGGCCCGGCCCGAGCCCAGCCTCGCGAGGTGAGTCCACGGCGCCCGATGGCGCGGGGTGTAGGGCGGGGACCGCGGGGAGGGGTCGCGCGCGCCCCCACCCTGCGCCTGGACCCGGGTTGAGGGACCTTTTTGCCCCCAAGTTTCCAACCCGGGGGTCCCCGTGGCAGCTGCTCAGAGGCGCCCCAGATTAGGAGCGCGGGGACCGGGAGAGGGGATTGGGGGCGAAGTGCATGGTTTGTGCGCCAGCCGCCCCCCCAACCCCACCCGGGTGCCTGGCTTTCGGGGCTCCCGGGCGCGCGGAGCGGGGGAGGGGAAGAGGGGCTGCATTGAGGGTGTGGGGGAAACCGGCGTGGGGGGATAGGGGGGCGCGTCGCGTGCTAACTTTCCTGCCGGGTCCGGCTAGGGGGGCGCTTTCGCCTCCCCCCAGCCCCGGCGGGGGCCTGCTCGATGCTGCGTGCATACGTTGGAGTTGGGCAGGATGGAGCTCCATGGGGGATGGGGGGGAGGGGGCTGAAAAAACAGGGAGGGGGGCTTTGCAAAGGAGGGGGAAGGGGTGGGGTGTCCGGGAGGGTGGGCGGGAGGCGCCGCGAGGCTCTGTGGTTGTCGTAGTCCGTAGGCAGCTTGCGGCTAGCAGGTGGCTGGCGGTACGAACTACAAGTCCCACAGTGCGCCGCGCGGGCGGCTCGCTGCGGCCCGCGGGGAGGGGCGGTGCGGAGGAGGGGCGGTGAGCGGCGGGTTCACGGGCCAATGGGTGCGGGCGACGGCTCGGCGCTGCGCTGCAGGCGGAGCCTGCGTGGGGGCGGTGCCTGCGCCGGCTCCCCTTGCCGGGGGCCGGTGGCCGTCCTGGCTTCCGGCTGCGCGGCCGCGGGCCGCCCCCTCCCCGCCTCGGGCCCCTCCCGCCTGTTGTGTAACTGTCCCCAGCCCCCTCCCCTCGGGTCCCCCAACCCCAAAACGGGGGCCCCTCCTTGCCGAGGGCGCTCCCCGGATAGGGTGTCGGCGAGGCGGCAGTGCGGCGCAGGAGAGCCCGGGGATGCGCGGCCTGGCGCGGGCCGGCCGGGGCTCGAGGGAGGCGGCGGGCGAGCGGGCGGGCGGGCCCAGATCCGGGGTAATTTGCATCGCCCTCCCCCCAGCCCGGGTGGGGATTGGCCGCCGGCGGCGGGGGGTGGCGCGGGGCCAGGCGCATTGCCGCCTCCCGGGCCTCGGAGGAGCCAGCCCAGCCGCCGCCGCCGCCGCCGGGGCCGGGCCCCTCGCGCTGCCCCGGGAAGGAGGTAGGACCCGCGCCTGTTCGGCAGGGCCGGGGTGAGGGCCGGGATGGGGGCCGCGACGGGACGCTTCCTGCTCCCCCCTCACTCGGCCTGGCGCCTCTGTCTGTGCGCGCGGCCCCCGATCCCCGCCCGCGCCCCCGGAGCGCGTGACCCCGTCTCCTCTGGCCGGACCCCCCCTCCTCTTGACGCCAAGCACCACGTGCGAGCCCTGAGCTCGGGCAGGAGGGGCGAGCGGCGCGATCTGGTCCCCTCCCCCTCCCGCTCTGCTTTCCTCCCTCCCCCAGCCCGGAGCTGCAGACCTGGCCGGGGGCTCTACGAGGCCCTGGAGCCTGCCCATTCCCAAGACCAGGCCTCTGTGGCTCCTGGGAGACACTGACTCCCCCGCGCTTGGCCCTGCGGCCCACTGGGGAGCCCGGGGACCGCCGCAGGACGCTGCTGTCCAGCCAGGCCCAAGGCACCCAGTCGCTGTCTACTAAGTGCTTGGCAGAATGCATCGAGGACTTGGCGGGGTTGCATGGGGAAGCGGGCAGCGCCTTCTCTCCCCCCAGCCAGGCGGCGGAAGTGAGAGAGGTGTGCATGCCCCTTCCCCCAGCGGGCCCACCTGGCTCACCCATGGGTGGCTGGCCCGCCACCCCCTTGCTCCTCCTCCCTGCCAACTGCCTCCCAGAGCCGCCGGAGAGGGCGTCCGGGATTCCATGTCAGCCCCCCCACCCCGGGCTAGGGCCAGGGCCAGGGCCAGGGCGGAACCCTGAGTGTGCCGCTCCCACACTGGGGGGGCCTCCCCTCCAGCGGCCCAATCACTTCCTATTGGCAGAACTGGCCTAGGAGAGATCCCCAGGCCCTGCCCGGGCAGAGGGCACCAGGCAGGGGCCCTGATCCCTCAGGACCATCCCCGTGGGGCCCTAACTGGGCCCGGCACCTCTCAGCTGGGCTCGGGGCTTTGTTTACGGCCTACCATCTCTGTGGAGACGGAGCCTGGGGGGGGGGGGCGCTGGAGAAGCCAAGCCTCAGCCGGAAAGAGGACCCAACGGGGACACTGAAATTTTAATTCGTGGGTCACTTTGGGGGGGTATTTATTATTCAGTTCTGATTGGCTGCCTGCGGACCAGTCAGCACCCTGGCCTGGGCTGGGAGCCACCAACTCAGCCGGGGAGGAGGAGCAGGCACTGCGGGAGCCTATGAGACCTTAGCCATGTTGGGGAGACTGAGGCAGGGCCCAGGCTGGGCCTTGGGGAGGTCCCTGGCACGGCAGCCAGACCTGTGTGTATTGGGGTTTGTTCTGTTGGTTGCTGGAGGCCATCTGATCTGGAGCTAGGTCCACCTGGTGGCTGCCCTTGTTACCTGTCAGGAAACCGAGGCTGGAGCCACGGTGAGGGCGGCCCCTCCCCCATGACCCAGGCAGCTTGGGCCTTGAGCAACCTGGGTGTGCGGGTTGTTGGTGGGCAGAGGAAATGGCAGTGGTGGGGATACAGAAAGCCCAAGGTCATGTTGGCAGCGAGGTCCAAGCCTCCTCCTTGGGGAACCTTCCTGAAGTCCCCTGGGAGGTCCGGCCAGGGCCCCTGCCCACCTGTGTTCCCCAGCACCTGTCATGAGCAAGCACTGGACAGTCACCCGGGATCTGTCCGAAGATGACACTGAGCTCAGAGAGGGCCAGCCATACGCCCAAGGTCACCCAGCTCGAGACCCACGGGTGCTGCCTCCCAACCTGGCTCCCACCAACCTGCACCCGGGGCCCCCAAAGCAGGCAGGGCTCAGGGTTGCGTAGCTCTTTATGCCTAAGGGGGTTGGGGTCACTTCCCCAGGGCCCAGACTCAGGCCTGGACCCTCTGAAGCAGCGCTGGCTGAGCTCTGTCCAGGAGCCTCCTGTGCGGGCAGGGCCCCCCAGCAGAGCCTGCAGACCCCCTGCGTTCACCCCTTTCCTCTCTGCTGGAGGGAAAGCCCTGGGTCAGTGTCAGCCACCTGGGATCTGCTTGGGTGTCGGGCATGGGTCATCAGCCACTTGAGACACCATTCGGGCCCCCAGCAAGTCACCTTGCCCTGAACCGCCCTGCAACAGCTCTGGGTGGCAGAGACCAGCAGAACAGGCTGGGCCAGGCTCTGCTCCACCTGGGACCCATCCAGGTCCACCGTGTCCCCTCTGCTGGCCTCAGCTATTCCATCAGTGCAACGGGACACCACTAGGGACATTGTGGGCTCAATGTGTCTGGCCCCTCCAGAGCTCGTGAGGCCCCCCCCCGCCCTGCCTGTCCCTGTCCTGCAGACCCTGATTGCCTGGACATCTACTGGGCCATCCTGGGTCCCCCAGACTCAGGAAGGGGGATCTCGAGGTCTGCTGCTACCTGTGGACTGTGTGCTGGGGGAGGGGACAGGCAGTCTGGGAGGACTAGTCAGGCTGGCCTAGTTGGTTAAGCGGCCTGTGTTCAGATTCCAGCTCTTTTGCTGTGTGACCTGGGGGAGTTGCCGCCCGTCTCTGGGCCCCCCTCTTGGAGAGCCAGCAGGGTGGGCATAAACTGCGCTACCAGGCCCGGTGCCCTGTGGGGAGATTCTGGCACAGGCAAGGAGGTAGGCCAGAGAGCCGGCCCCTCCATCTGTCCCCTCAGCAGGCTGTGGTCGGTCACTTGGTGGAAGTGTCCCCACCCACACCTTTCTGGTCTGACTGGGAAACAAGCTCTGTCCCATTAGGGTGTAACAGGGATCCAGCTGGATCCGCACAGCACCAGAGCCCCTTCATCCTGGGCGTGCGGCCTGAGTCCTCCACCAGCCATGCCGGGTGTGGGGCACTGCAGGTGGCTCTCCAGGTGACAAACAGGTCCGTCCAGGTCCTTGTGGTCTCCCGTGGGCATCATCGGGAATAGCAGGTGGGGTGGCAGTGATGGAGTTCTGCAGAGCCAGGCCTTGCTTACCCCTGGGGACAGGAAGCTCATTCTCTGAGAGCCATCCCTTTCAGGGACGGTGAGGCTTCCTCTTGGAACGCAGCCTCCTCCTGACGGGGGGCTTCCTGGCTCATGACGGTACTTGGGGTGTGGGACCGGGGTGGGCCTTGGCCCCACCCTGGAGTCAGGGGTCAGATGGGGTCCCCACGACCTCATCCCTGCCCCCTGAGAACACACTTCCCACTGGGCCGGCCGCCTTCCTGCCTCTGGCCCTTTAAGGCCTGGGCAGGAAGCCCCTCCCCACTTAGGGCACTAAATGGCCATGTAAAATGGCGGAGGGCCCTGTGGGTCCTGTTCGTGCCAGGTCGGGCCCAAGGAGGCTAACTGCCTGGCATGGCAGGTGGGCAGGGGCTGCACTGGCTGACGGCTGATAGCCACCCTGGGCCTGGGTGATCCCCAGCATTGCAGGGTGACTGTGGGGACCGCCATGCTGCATGTGTGACCTTGGACCGGCCCCCACCCTCAGGCCGGGCCGTACCCTGCGCTGCCCTCCCTGGTCAGTGCTACCCGCTTGCCTGGCACGTAGTAGGTGGAAGTGGGTCGGATTCCTGAAGTCAGCCTGAGCCACCAGGCCCCCTAAGCCTGTCCGACCCCCTCTCACTCGCAGGGCGTGGGCAGTGGACAGGCTGGGTGGAGTTTTCTGGGGACCGGCTCACACACAGTAGGTCCTCGGGCAAGGTCCACCACCCGGGCAGGAGCAGGGCTCGATCGCTGGCGGGCTTACTGGGGACCCATTTCTCTTTGCTGCTAGAATCCCAAGGAGACAGCAGCCACCCCGAGGGGCCGTGCTGGTAGCTCGTCACAGGACGCATGAGGAGGAGCTGGGCTTGAACCCGGCCCGCCGCCTGTGGCACCCAGTAGGTGTGTGAGGTCCTTTTCCCCCCGCTCCTCTCTCTGCTGGTCTCCTTGGGGGGCAAGAGGGCCTGGGCCCTGCTGAGTAGTCCCCACCCCAGGAGCGGCCCCCGGAGGACTGTGGGTGGCAGTTACCTCCTGTCATTGGGGACCAGGGATGGGAGGAGTCTGGCCTGGGATCTTGGGGAGGTCCCTTCCTCTTTCCTGCTCCCCTGGGCTCCCCACGGTCCCGGTGTCCTCCCCAGGGACACCTGCTGCGCCCTGACCTCGCTGTTCCCGGAAGTGGGGAGGTGGCAGCAGGTCCGGTTGAAGCACCTGGGCCCTGACCCTGCCGCCCGCGTGCTGTGCAGCTCGTGGCTGCGTCTCGCACCTCTCTGGGCCTCTCCAGGCTGTGGGGAGGATGAGAGCAGGGGACGGGTTTTACAAAGCAGTTAGAGCAAGTAAACCTTGGCTAGGCGGAAGCGGAGATAGGCCAGGCCCAGGGGAAGAGGGTCGCCATCTACAGCCCAGGAGGGGCCTGCTGGGGCCTGTCCCCTGCGGACAGCCGAGTCAGCGCTGTGCCTCCGGAAGTCCCACGCAGGCGGCCCGGGGGCGGAGCTGTGGTCCGGGGTAAGGGTCCAGGTCTTCGGGTCCCACCCAGGGCGGGGCCGGGCTCCCAGGGGAAGGAGATGTGGTGACCACTTCCGAGGTCCTGCTGGGTATTGGGTGCCAGGCAGGGCCGCAGTGGTCTGCCGACTGTGGGCGCCCTGGGGCCTCTCTGCGCCCCCACCCATCTTCTTTCAGCCGCGGGCAGGGTCTTGGCCCTTGTGGCAGGGAGCTGCCCCCCAGGAGGCCCAGGTGGGGGCGGTGACAGGGTGTGGCCAGCAGGTGCCTCCAGTTCCTGGACAGAGGGCGGGTCAGGTGTTGGCAGGGCCAGCGCAGGAGCCACCGGCTGGGGCGCGCCGAGGACCAGCCCTGGGCCCCAGCCCGTGCAGGTCGCCTTGCTGGGTGTCTTCAGCTGGGATTTCAGCTCTCTCTGGGCCTTGGGTTTTCTTACCTGTCACATGGCAACCACGACACTCAACGGCGCTTTCCTGGCTCGGCTAGCCTGGCCCTTGAGCTGAGGGGGAGATATTCGGGCGAATGTGGGGGCTCTTCAGGCCCAGCTGGGACCCACGGCCCTGCTTACCCCAGGGCATCCTGACCCTGGAAATAGGGCAGGGGCAGTCTCTGGCCCTGGGCGTGGCCGAGGTGGACTCCTCCGAGTCCAGGGGTGATGGGGAGACACCATCGGGGCTGAGTCATTCGGACTCGGATCCCAGTACCGAGGTCCCCTGAGGGAGGACAGTCCGGTGGGCCTGGGTGGCTGTCTTGGGGGCCCTGGAGGCCTCGGTCCGAGTCTCTCGGTGGTGCGTGGGGCGGGCCTTGGCAAGGAGGGTCGGCCTGTCTGATCCGAGCCCCATCTGTCCTCACGTGGCCCGAGGCGCAGGGCCAGACGGCAGATGGTGGTGCAGGGGGTGAAAGCTACCAAAGGGGGCTCCTCGGCAGCTTCCTGGGGCCGTGGCGCGTGCGGGGTCCTCCCCACCCTGGCCCCCTGCACCCGGCAGCCACATCTGAGCCGCGCCCCTCCCCACTGCGGGCAGCCGGGTGGAGGAAGGGGGGGCCCCCAGCAGCTGGTGCGGCGGGAAGGAGGGTGGGTGGAGGGCCCGAGCCCCGGCAGTGAACAGGCCGCACAAAGGTCTCTATGTGGCCTTGGCAGACCCCGCGCCAAGGGCTGCCAGGGTGGGTGGGCACTGGACCATCGGGTGAGACCCTGGCCAGAGGGGTCCCGTGGACCTCAGAAGGCCCTGCTCTGGCCCTGTCCCCGGGGAGAGGCCTGGTGCCCGGCCCCAGGGCCAGCCTAGCCTAGAGGAACCGGAGGAGCATGGTTGGCTTTGGGTGGTGTGGGGCTCCCTGGAGAGGGTGGAGGGCTGGGGACAGGAGCCAGAGGTTGCACAAGGGCCCGGGTGGGTGGGTGAGTCACAGCTCGGGGGAAGCGGAAAGCAGGAGGGCGGAGGATAGGAGTGGGCTGGGCAGTCCCCAGGGCCCTGTACCTCCAGGAACCGGGGCCCATTTGACAGATGGGGACACTGAGGCCCAGAGCACACCCGGGCCTCATCTCAGGTCAAATGGCACAACGGAGGAGGCAGAGAGGCGGGTGGAAGGCCTGAGCCACCCAGGCCCCTCCTGGGGGCTGTGGCTGGGTTCGACCTCCATTTCCGTATTACTCACTGCCGGGCTGAGCCCTTCCCGGGGGCTCGAGGGCAAGAAGAGGTTTGTCAGCCGTGCCACCGGCCCTGTCCCAGTGGGCCACGCCCTCTGCACCCTTGAACCCAGCCAGGTTTCTGGCCTGGGTGTCCGGGGTTCCACCTCCATCCTTCTACCAGCTCAGGGTCCCCAGAGGATATTGGGGTCACCGGGACAAATTTGGGTAGGGTGTAGCTCTGTCCTTACCAGGAGGTTACAGACAGGCATTGTTGCTCGTCCCCCCGCTGCCCCCCCCCCCCCGGTTTGTTTCCTCTTCCTCCGGGGAGCCAAGGTGCCTGGCTCAGAGGGACCTCATGACTGTCTCCGTCTGTGTGTTTCTTGGGCACCTACTGTGTGCCCCAGACACCTCCAGGTGTCCTATGACCTGGGTTCCCTGGGGCCTCCCATTGCGGGGTGGGAAGGTGTCCCCACTTTTCCTCACAGCCAGAGTGCTTTCACCAGCATAAATGGTTTAGCATTAAAGCCAGGCGTGGTGGCACTTGGCTGTCATCCCAGCACTCAGGAGGCTGAGGCAGGAGGATTGTCTTAAGGCCAGCCTGGGCTGCATAGCAAGACCTTGTCTCAAAACAAAACAGGGTTAAGACACCTGGCAGTTGTGCAGAGCTGGGTTAGCTGAAGTTGGGGGCATGGATGCCCTTTTGCACAGCTGGGGAAATCAAGGTCAGCCACAAGATCAGGTGTGTCCTCCCCAGGGTTCCGGTCGAGAGGCTTCCATGCTCACCGACCACACTATCCCCCACCCCGGCCCCTGCAGGTCTCGGCGCGGAAGATGGCCGGCGGCGTGGACGGCCCCATCGGGATCCCGTTCCCCGACCACAGCAGCGACATCCTGAGCGGGCTGAACGAGCAGCGGACGCAGGGGCTGCTGTGCGACGTGGTGATCTTGGTGGAGGGCCGCGAGTTCCCTACGCACCGCTCGGTGCTGGCCGCCTGCAGCCAGTACTTCAAGAAGCTGTTCACGTCGGGCGCCGTGGTGGACCAGCAGAACGTGTACGAGATCGACTTTGTGAGCGCCGAGGCGCTGACCGCGCTCATGGACTTCGCCTACACCGCCACACTCACGGTGAGCACGGCCAACGTGGGTGACATCCTGAGCGCCGCCCGCCTGCTGGAGATCCCGGCCGTGAGCCATGTGTGCGCCGACCTCCTGGACCGGCAGATCCTGGCGGCCGACGCGGGCGGCGACGCGGGCCAGCTGGACCTCGTGGACCAGGTGGACCAGCGCAACCTGCTGCGCGCCAAGGAGTACCTGGAGTTCTTCCAGAGCAACCCCATGAACAGCCTGCCCCCCGCCGCCGCTGCGGCCGCCGCCGCCGCCAGCTTCCCGTGGTCCGCCTTCGGGGCGTCCGACGACGACCTCGATGCCACCAAAGAGGCCGTGGCGGCCGCCGTGGCTGCCGTGGCCGCGGGTGATTGCAACGGCTTGGACTTCTACGGGCCGGGCCCCCCTGCCGAGCGGCCCCCCGCGGGTGACGGAGACGAAGGTGACAGCAACCCCGGGCTGTGGCCAGAGCAGGACGAGGATGCCCCGGCCACCGCCACGGCAGGCGGTCTCTTCCAGCCTCCGGTGGCCCCGCCGGCCACCACGCAAAACGGCCACTATGGCCGCGCCGGCGAAGAGGAGGCGGCCTCGCTGTCCGAGGCGGCACCCGAGCCCGGGGACTCGCCGGGCTTCCTGTCGGGCCCGGCGGAGGGCGAGGACGGGGACGCCGGCGGCGATGTGGACGGACTGGCGGCCAGCACGCTGCTGCAGCAGATGATGTCGTCGGTGAGCCGGGCGGGGGCGCTGGCGGGCGGGGACAGTGACGAGGAGTCGCGGACCGACGACAAGAGCGTCATGGATTACTACATGAAGTACTTCAGCGGCGCCCACGAGGGCGACGTGTACCCGGCGTGGTCGCAGAAGGGAGAGAAGAAGATCCGAGCCAAGGCCTTCCAGAAGTGCCCCATCTGCGAGAAGGTCATCCAGGGCGCCGGCAAGCTGCCGCGCCACATCCGCACGCACACCGGCGAGAAGCCCTACGAGTGTAACATCTGCAAGGTCCGCTTCACCAGGTGAGCCGCCGCGCCCTCCCCTGCCCCCTCCTGTCTGCAGCCACGGCTCAGGCACAGAAAGAACGAGGCCGGAGGGCCAGGAGTGGTGGCGCACGCCTGTCATGCCAACACTCGGGGAGGCCGAGGCAGGAGGATCTCCATGTGTTCCAGGCCAGCCTGAACCGCAGAGTGAGACCCTGTCTCAGAAAGACAACTGTGGGGGCTGGGACTTAGCTCAGCCGCATAAGCACCTGCCTTAAAGCAGGCAGTCGTGAGTTCGATCCCTGGTACCAAAAAAAAAGACAGCTGTGGCCGGGCACCGTAGTGTCTGCCTGTGGTCCGGGCACCTTGGGGAGGTGGCGGCAGGAAGGTGGTGGGCAGTGCAAGGTCCTGGATTCAATCCCCAGTACAAACAAAAATGTCACAGCGTGTGAGGTGTGAAGAACCTGCCATAGATGGGCTGGAGAACTGGCCTTCTGTTTTCAGACAGTTACCTGTGTTGAAGGAGAAATTCTTAAGTCTCCTTTGCTATGGGAGAAGGGGGAGCCTGTTCTAGAGATTTGGTTACTGTTTATTTTTGTATTATAAATTTATTTGGTCCTCAGCCCTTTATTTTGTGAGGCGGGATCTCACCAACTCATTAAGATTTACCCTGGCTGGGTTTGAACTGCGATCCGCCTGCCTCAGCCTCCCAAAATGCTGGGATGACAGCAGTTCTTTGGTCAGCATTTCTTAAGTACCAGCTGTGTGCTGGGTTCTTATCTAAGCACTGAAGGACCCAACAGTGGACAGACAGGCCCCAGTCTCTGTGGAGTCACCAAGGGAGGGAGTAGGGCTGGAGAGATTTGAGTTGAGATCCAAAGGAGCTGTGGGAAAAGTATTCTGCACTGGCAACAGCCTGTGCAAAGGCCCTGAGGCCCGTTTGGCTTGGGGCTGCAGCCAGTGGAGGTGGAAGAGCCTGGCAGGAGCCATGGGGTTTGGTCCCTGAGCTGGAAGAGTTCAAGGTCAGGCCAGCAGTATCCAATTGGGTCTTAGGAGTCCAGAGGTGGCTGGCTGGCCCATGTGGACTGAGGGCGGGCCGGCCCAGTGGGGGTGGGGGGCTGGCAGCAGGGACCCAGCCAGGCTGGGTGACTCAGCATCACCCCCTGCCCCCAGCCTGGCCGCCCTGGGGTTCCCCAGCCACGCCTCTCAAGGCTGAAGAAAGAGGCCATTGTCCCATTTCCTGGCCCCACCCCACAGGGACAGGAACCTGGGCTTGACCCCCTCCCCAGCAGCTGGGTGAGCAAGGCAGGCTGGGCTCGGGCACCCAGGGGTGCCAGGTGGGGGCAAAGGGCAGAGCCAGGCCTTGGGCAGTCTGCTGCGGGAGATTGGGGCTGGAGGTCCTGGGAGCCGCCTCCTCTAGGCCGGAGTCCCCGGGGGGCCTCTGAGTAAGCTGGGGAGAGGGGACAGCATGGCTGGGGGTCCTGCTCAGTGACCTGGCCCTGCCTGTCCTCCACCTGCCGCCAGGACCGCGGCCTCCCCAGGTGCTGGCCTGGCCTGGTTTCGAGGTAACTTAACCTGAACTTGGCCACGCCCATCCAGTTCAGCCTGGGATCCAGCCAGCATGCCAGACAGGGAAACTGAGGCACGGGGCGCTCAGTGGGGCCGTTTGTCCCCAGGCCCCCACTGGCTTCCTCTTTGAGCCCCTCTGGGGCCCCCGCCCCCACCCTCCTGCAGGCCCAGGAGCCCAGGGGCCCCTCTGAGTCACAGCAGGCAGGAGCTTGAGTAAGCAGAGCCCGTGGCTGGGGCTATAATTACCCGGCCGCCTGGGCTGGGGTGACGAAAGGCGCTGCCTCCGCCCCCGCCCCGCCTCTGCGTGGCCCCTGGCCCGCTGTGCAGCCTTGGGCAGGTCACTTGTCCCCTCTGAGCTGCCCAGCTTCAGCCGGGAGTCCGCTGATGTCCACATCCTGTTGGTGGTGACCACGGACAGGGCAGAAGTCAGGTTGCAGAGAGCTTCAGAGCCCCCAGGGATGTCAGGGCCAGAAGGAGGGACAGGGGCTGGAGGAGCCTAGGGCAGGAACGGCGTCTTCCAGGGATGGAAAAAGGAGAGTGGCCCGGTGAGCCATGAGGGATGAGTAGGAGTTCGTGTGTGTCTGAATCTCTGCCAGGTAAGAGGCGAGAATCGCAGAGCAGCTCTGATGCAAGGCACAAGGAAGACAGAACAGGAGAAAGTAGCTTCTGTCATTTTTTACAAATAGGTCCCTTTGGCTGGTCAAAGTGCAGAGTTAGTAACGGACCATTTTACATTCTCGTGCATCCAAAGGCTTTCAGGGTTTTGTTTTGCTTGGTTTTGTTTTTAGACAGGGTCCTACTATACTTTTCAGGCTGGCTTTGAACTCACCATATAACCCAGGCTGACCTCGAATCCTCAGCAATCTTCCTGCCTCGGCCTCCCGAGGGCTGGGATTCCAGGTGTGCACCACCACACCTGGCTAAAACGTTTGCTCATCTATTTATGTTGGTGCCAGGCATTGAACTGCGGACCTTGCACCTGCTAGGCAGGCACTGTGCCACTGCGCTACCGCCATCCCCTGCCCCAAACCCAGTCCAGGGTGCCTGGCATAATTTCAGCGCTTCTCAGCCTGGAGGACTCGGAAACTGTGTGTGGCCAGAGACCACTGTAGGGGTACAGCCCTTAGTCCCCCCCAGAGCTGATAAAGTGACCAGGTTTGTGGGCTAAAGGCCTCCGGGTGAGCCTGACCCATGCTGTTTGCTGTGGAGTAGCTTGGCAGGGAGTGTCAGGTGGCCATGAGGTGTGGAGCCACGGCGGTGATAGCAGGCTTCAGGGAGACGGCAAGGATGTGGAGGAAGTGGGACGGGGGACAGCTCGTCCAAAGGCTCTGGGGCCGGCAGGACTCAAGTATGTTGATGCCACAGCCAGGGAGCCCTGTGGTCAGGCTGAACCTGTTGGAGGGGTGGGGAGGGTCGCCGGGGCCCTAGTGCCCATGGGGTGGGGACCTTGGCTGAGAACACCAAGGGGTGTCTTCCGTGATACAGCTTGGAGTGCTAAAACCAGAGTATTTGGTCATCCGGTCTGTCACCAAGTGACCCTGACGCCTGGCGGCTCCGGAGTGCGGGGGCTTTTGCTTGCCTAGTTTTCTGTGGTATTCTCAGCACTGAGAGCGTGGCTCAGGGACACGTGCCTGTCTCCAGCAGCTCAGGAGGCTGAGGCAGGAGGGTTGCGTATTTGAGCCCAGCCCCAGCAACTTGAGGTTTAGCAAGATCCTGTCCCAAACAAAATAACCAGAAGGCCTGGGGACGCAGATCAGTGGTGAAGCTTTGCTCAGCGTGTGGGAGGGCGGCTCTGGGCTCTGGCCTTCCAATTTGTGGTGGTGTTTGTTTGTTTCATTTGGCTTTTTGAGACAGGGTCTCGCTGTGCAGTTCAGGCTGGCCCTGAGCTCACCTTGTAGCCCAGGCTGGTCTCGAACTCGCAGCGATCCTCCTGCCTCAGCCTCCCGAGTGCTGGATGACAGGCGAGCCCCGCCATGCCTGCAAAAATAATCCGGGAAGAAGAAAAGGTCCGGGGTGTAGCGCAGGCGCCGAGGGCTTCCCTGTCGGTCATCAAGACCGATCCCCAGGAGCAGGCGGTGCAGAGGGGTTCAGGGTGCACCCCGGGCTGGGAGCCCTCGGGTTCCGGCCGGGCTGCTGACAGGCGTGCCCGCCCTGTGCTGTCCCCCAGGCAGGACAAGCTGAAGGTGCACATGCGGAAGCACACCGGGGAGAAGCCCTACCTGTGCCAGCAGTGCGGGGCCGCCTTCGCGCACAACTACGACCTGAAGAACCACATGCGCGTGCACACGGGGCTGCGGCCCTACCAGTGCGACAGCTGCTGCAAGACCTTCGTGCGCTCCGACCACCTGCACAGGCACCTCAAGAAGGACGGTTGCAACGGGGTCCCCTCCCGGCGAGGCCGCAAGCCCCGGGTGCGGGGCGGGGCCCCCGAGCCCACGCTGGGGAGCGCCGTGCCTCCCCCGGGCGCCCCCGGCTCCGCGCCCCCCGGCTCCCCCGACGTCACCGCCGCTGCTGCCACCGCCACCACCACCGCCACCGCCACCGCCCGGCGCAACGGCCAGGAGAAGCACTTTAAGGACCAAGAGGAGGACGAGGAGGCCACCAGCCCCGACGGCTCCTCGGGCCGGTTGAATGTAGCGGGCACCACGGGTGGAGACGACAGCGGAGGTGGCCCCCCCGGAGCCACTGCCGACGGTAACTTCACAGCCGGACTCGCCTAGAAAAACCAAAAACAGAAACCCGAGACAGACAGACAGACAGAGCGAGAGAGCGAGCGAGAGAGAGAGCTAACCCCCCACCCCCAAAAACACAAAAAAAGAAAATCTATCTATATACAGATATCTATATCTATATATATATATATGCAGATATATATATATGGGCGTCACGGTAGGTAGCTTCCTCCATCCTCTCCCTCCTGGCGTTCTGCTCCCGCGGGGTCCCTCCCGCCCGGCCCCCGTGTGCCCCGCTCCCCGACCCCCCATCCAGATGTCACTGACTGGGCTTCGGGGCTCGGCGCGGGGGGCCGTGTGGGCACAAGGATTCCGAGCCTCCCCGCACCCCCAAACCGGCGTGGGTTTGGGGGCGTCATCCCAGGTCTGGGCTGGGGTGACAGTGGGAGGCGGGGTGGGGGGCCCGGAGCGTGAGTTCTCTTTCCCCTGCTGGTTTCTATGAGTCTTCAGACAAGACCTTAAAAATGATTTCTGTCTGCTCTGAGCGGACGTTAAAGACGCCCCTGTCCCCGACCCCCACCCTTCTTCCTCAGGGCACTTAGCACGGGGTCTCCCCGCCGACCCCAGCGGCCTCCCGCCTCACCCCGCCTGTGGTCCGCCGCCTCTGCACCTCCTGGCCGCTGAGACAAATCTATTTATTTCCAGGCCTGGAGAAAGGGACCGGGACGGGGGAGCGGGCCAGGGGCACCAGGGTGGCACCAGGGCCTGCCGCCACCTTCCTTCACGGCACTTACACCGGCGGGACCCCAGGGCACCCCTCAGGGCGCCCCCACCCGCCCTCCTGTCCGGGTCCCCACCCACCCAGGCCCCCCAAAACCCCTCTGTTTAGAAAGAAAGCTTCTGTCTTGCCCCTCCCCAGCCCCTCCCCGACTTTATAAAGCACTTTTTAGATTTTTTTTCTTTTCCTTCTTGAAAAAATTTATATATAGATATATATAGATATATATATAATATGTCCTAGAGGGGCAGGCGACAGCGCGGGGTGACTCTGGCTAAGATTGGAGGGGACCCAGGGTCTCAGGGAAGCGGGCACGGGAGATTTGAGTAGCAGAGTCCAGATGTCCAATGTCACAAAAGCAATAAAAAAAAAAAAATCAAAGATTTTACAAAAAGGCAAGGAAGAAAACAAAACAAAACAAAAAATGACCGCAACCAACCACATCAGAAGTCTTGGCACTTTGTAACAGAACGGGTACTTTATCTTAATTCTTAATTTAAAACTATGTTTACAAGTTGTAACCAACTTCTATGAAAAGTTGAAAAGACAAAAAAAAGAGAGAGAGAGCGAGAGAGAGAGAGAGCAAAAGAGAATTCCTAAACGTCAATTTATTTTTGTACAAAATAATAATAAAAAAAACCCACCACAAAATACAGAATTCACGTCTGTTCCCCAAGGCCAAGGGGGGTGGACCGGAGGCCATCAGAGGGACCAGAGGGGTTCTCAGGGTCCCCTCTGCCACAGGAGCCCGCGCCAAGGGCAGGACCTCGGGGGTCCCCCAGGTTGGTGCCATGTCAGCCCCGCCCTCCGCTCCTGCCCCTCTTTTTGGTCTGTGCCCGCCCCACAGCCCCCCTCTCATGGCACCTACTTCCTCTCCGCCCAGCTCAGGGATGGGCCCGAGACGGGACTGGCCTCCCACCCAGCCGGACCAACCCACCGCCCGTGTCCCCACCGCCCCTGCCCTCCAGCATGGCGGTCCTGCGTGGCCACGAGGGGCCGCCATGTCGGATGTGCTGTGTTCCCTCCAAGTCCTTCCCCAAGGGGCCGACAGGACAGGGGTCCCCTCCAGGGCCTTCCAGTTCCCTTCCACGCACCCCCCCTTTTTACTCAAAGGCACTGACTGTAACCCGGGGACTGGCACCTGTGTCCCCCCAACCCCTGGCCCCCAAAGGCCCGGCACACACCGGGCCACAGGCCACGGACACGGCCCAGGGTTGGGGTGACGACACTGCCGGCTGCCAGGGTGCCCTCCCCAGCCCCACTCCGCCCAGCGGAGCCCAGTGTGAGACCCCGCTTCCCGTCCAGGCCCAGCGGGCATGGCAGGTGGCCCCGAGTGCCCCACTCCTCTCCCTCCCAGGACCTGTCTGTGACAAGCGTCTTCTGTCTTGCTCTTGTTTTTAAAGGGAAGCTTTTTACGAAGGCCATTTTTGATACTGCTTCTGCCGGAGAGTTTCTGTGCCCTCCCCTCCCGCCCTGCCAGCCCCGGCCCTGCCCCGATGTCTCAGGAGTCCCTCCAGGCCCCGACGCGCCCTAGGGTCAGCAGGCGAGCTGTTCAGAAGTGACTGGAGGCTGAGCAGGGAACCCCAGAACCCCAGCTAGGGAGCTCGGCCTTGCCCCTCGGGAAGTCCGCCGAGGGCGAGTTCTGTGTCCCCACCACACACGCGCACCCCTTCTTTGCAATAAAACCGACTCGCAAATCCTAGGTGTCACCTTGGCCAGCGGCAGCCACCAGACCTGTGGGCCAGCCCTGGGGACACGGAAGGGCAGGGCCGTGGCCCGCCGGCAGACTGGGGACACCGACCTCCCGGCTGCACTAAGCCCCCCCAGCTCCGCACTAGCTTGCCCCCCGCCCGCGGCCACGCTGCCTTAACCGCGGTCTGCATGGCCCAGAGCCGGCCCCCAGCCCCGCCCAGGCCCCGCCCCAACCGCAATCACATACTGTATATAGACGTGGATCAATTTTAGTTTTATTCTTTAAATTAAGGTCGTGATAAAGTGTTGCCAAAGATACCTGCTGAAGTTTTCGTGTTTCAGGAAAAGCTGTTTGAGGAGGGTTGGGCTGGCTTGTCTGGGAGGACGCTGCAGAAAGGGTTTTGGGGTTTTTTGTTTGGTTTGGTTGTTTGGGGTTTTTTTTTTTGTTTGTTTGTTTTGTGTTTTTTGTCTTTTTTTTTTTTTTTTTTTTAACTGCCTGGTACAAAAAAAAAAAAGAAAAAAGAAAAAGTGGATTGTGATTTCCATCCTGATGGTGGTGCTTGGATGGCTTGGTGCGTGCGTGCGTGTGTGTGAGAGGCCGACAGGTCCAGGCTGGGGGCTCCAGGCGGGGGTCCCCGGGCTCAGGGGAGGAGAGTGGCTTGAGACCCCAGCCTGAAGTCCCTCAGCCTGTGGGGACCCCGACGGGGGGGGGGGGACGTCCTCCAGATGCCGCTCTTTGCCTCCCCCACATCCTGCCTTTTGAGATTCAAGGGGGGAAAAATAAAAATATTAAAATTAAAAAAAATTTTTTAAACCATTGAATGTACTGTGGCAGAAAAGGCCCAGCCTGGCACCAGTGCGGGTGTGCACCCTGCCAGGCCCCGGAGGACGATACCAAAGTCTGCACTGTACCTGGCCGGCCTTTGCTTCCCTCCCAGGGGCTCCTCCAGGTGCCCCGTTCTTCCCGGAGGCAGGGGGTGGCCAGGGACACGGGCCTAGGGGCCGCGGCAGGCACAGTGGTCGTGTCACGGAGGGCTGAGCGAAGCAGGGGTCACCCTCCACCCCGAGGGTGGGCACGGTCCAGGCAGCCGGGATTCCTGGGGGGACACAGAAAAGGCAAAACAAAACGAAAAATTTAAAAAAAAATAAAAAACTTTAAAAAAACAAAACAAAAAAAGCAAAAAAATCCTATTTTTTGAGAAAGAAAGATATTTATATTTGCAGTTTTATTTTAAAAAGTTATTTAAGCTCAGAAAGCGGCCTGCCCAGAGGTGGGGTGGGGGGCTGGCGCGGGACGGGTCACGGGCCTGGGGTTTCAGCCACCGGGGCCACAATCTCAGAGTTCAGCGGCTTGCACTACACAGCTGTACAGCGGCCTGGGGGCCGGGCGGGCTGGGAACCGAGGCCCAGCGCCCCTGCGCTGCCGGCCGGCGAGGTGCCTTGGACTGTGGGGCCGGGCCTGGGAGGCGGTGCGCCCGGTACAGAGCACAGCACAGAGCAGACATTCCAGAGACTGTATCCGAGAGTCTTTATAATAAAAGTGTGGGAGATTAAACAAAATTCAATTGATAAAAATGCACTTTTTGGGGGTGGGGGGAGACGCTTTAAAGTAATAAACAAAAACAGACAAAAGAAAAACAAAAATCATTTTTCTTGTACATAAAAGACAAAAAACAAAGACCACTAAACGCAGCCTGTTAAGACCGCTGCTGCCTCCTGCTTGATTTCTTGGGGGGAGATGGGGGGTAGCAGGGAGGGAGGGTGTGGGGTGCTGATTCTGGGGCTCCCCAGCCCTGAGGGGGGACCTGGCTGGCCTGGGTTTGGGTTGATCAGAGGGCCCCCCTGGGCCACAGATGCAGGGGGAGCCCGGGAGGCCGGGAGGAACTGAGCCTTGGGCTGGCGGACAGGGGCGCGTGGGCCCTGCAAGGGCTGAGGGCCGGTGGGAGGGGGAAGAGCCTGCTGGTGGGTGGGGGAGGAGCCTGCTGGTGGGAGGGGGAGGAGCCTGCTGGTGGGAGGGGGAGGAGCCTGCTGGTGGGTGGGGACCCTGGGCACCTCCAGCTGGGCTGATGGGATGGGGAGAACCTGCTGGTGGGTGGGGACCCTGGGCACCTCCAGCTGGGCCCTGTTGGCTGTCAGATGCCTCGGCTGGCCGGAGACCACTTCCTGTCGCCCAGGAGGAAGTGGCCCGGGCTGCACCCTCCCTGTGGGTGAGGGGCACTCACAGCGCCCTCTGTGCAGCCGGGCAGGGCTGGTGGCCCAGGCTTCTCTGGGAGGCACAGGGGAATCCCAGCTCTGGAGCCCGTGATATCTGCAGTCACCTGGGGTTGGCCATCCTGGAGCACAGGCTGCGGGGACCAGAGTGGCCAGACCAGGAGTCCGGGAGGAAGCGGGGTCAGTGAGCAGCGGCCCCAGCCTGGCTGCTGCCATTCCCCCAGATCTAGAGCCCCTCAGGCAGTGGGCTCCAGAGACCTGTGCGACTGGCACCCCGGTAGCATTCCAGAACATTCGTCACCCCAAAGGAAGCCCCGTCCATCGTCAGTCGCCCCAGCCCCAGGCGACTTCCTGTCTCTGGACTTGGTGTCCTGGTGCTTCCTGTCCTGGAGCCCACGCTGGGCGTCTGTCTTTCTGGCATCCCTCACTGAACACAGCGCCGAAGCCAAGGTCTGTCCCCGCAGTGGCGTGGCAGCCCCACCAGGTGACGCCCGGGGTGGGGATGACCTCCCGAGTGTCCCTCCACCTGTGGACTGATGTGCTTCTGCCGGGCTACCAGGCCATCCAGGTCCGCACTGCGGGGCACACGCGTGTCTACCCACAGTGGCCCGGGCCGGTGGAGCTGCTGAGTCACTGTGGGCCGGGGCTGAGCCTGCCCCTGCGGGGCTGGCTTGGGAGCCTCTGTATGAGGTGACGCCTGCCACGGCCCCGGCCCGCACCCGGCTGCGACCTTCTGATCCTGGCAGCCTGCGGGCATCCAGCAGCACCTCCCGTGGCAGGCTCTGGATTTCTCTTCTGCCGGTGCCATCACCAGGTGTGTCCTGGTTGGCTGTGTACTCGGATGGACAGGGGCCACCTCGGAACGTGGACAGGGCTCTGAATCCTGTGTCCCCTGCCCAGAGTGAAAGACACAGGGCTCTCACGGAACAGAACACTGGCGGGGCCTGGCCGGGGCCCCGGGCGATACTGGGGAGGGGCCCTAATCCTCGCTCTGGGCCCCTCATGCTGCGGGAGCCAAGTGGCAACCCCAGCGCCGGAGGCTGAGGCAGGAAGGTCCTCCCTCCAAGTTTTGGGCAAGTTTAAGATCAGCCTGAACTACCAAGGAAGGCTGTCTCCTAAAAGGACCCAAGAAGACACTGAAAATCCCCCAAATAAACAGGACTCAGAGCACATGCCTCCGTGGTTTTATGTTGACCTTTTTTATTTGCATTTTTAAAAAACAATTAAATTAGAATACAAATATTAGAAAAGAGTGGCCCTCGCTGCGCTGCCGTGCAGGCGGAGGGGGGCCGGCTGCAGCGGAGTTCATACAGTTAAGACTGAGCGCCTCCCAGGCCCAGGCCGCAGTCCCCGCTACACCTGAAGGGGTATTGCTTCCTGATTAGCACAGTTCTGCTCTGGCCGGGTGGGCGGGCGGGCGGGAGAGCACAACAGGAGGGCCGGCCGGGCGCCTGCCCCCCCCCCCCCCCCCCCGCCTCCTGCCACGGCCCCGAGGCCCAGGACCTGGCAGAGCCGGGCTGGTTTGGTGCCGGGAGCAGGGCGGGTGGGCTGCAGGGTGTCCCCACCTGTCCTGCTGGAAGATCGAGGCAGGAGCGGAGGCGCCAGGCGAAGCCTCATACCCGTGGAAAAACCCAAGAGCAAGAAGAAGGGGGGGCCACCCCAAGTCCTGCGGGCCCGGGGCCCCGATGGCTGGGGGCCGCGTGGACATCTGTGGCGCTGTTCCGGAGGGAGTTAACCTGAATTGGAGTTACCGAGGTAGCTGGCTTAGGAAACGGGGACCCCCACACCCACAGTGCCGCACTTGGGGCCCCTGCCTCCCCCGGGGAGGCCCTGGCCGCCGCCGGGTCTTCAAAATACCAAGTTATTGCACTTTCAAAAAACACACGTCCATGGCGAGCCCTCCCCGACCTCCCGCCCCACGCCCACCCCTCCATGGCTTCGGAGCTAAAATGCGGAGGAGTCAGAGAAAGGGAGGCTGCAGAGGCAGGGTGCTCTCGGGAGCGGGCCCGCCCACCGTCCGCGACATCAGCTGGAATGGTTGTGGGAGGGTCGGCGGGCCCAGGTCCTGCCTGCCGCCCCGGCTCCGCTGTCCCGGGAGGCCTGGGCTCTGTCTGGGGGGGCGACTGCGGTGTGGGTGGCTTGCCTTAAAGAGTTTAAATCTTTTTTGTTTTTTCTGTTTCTTTTTCTTTCTTTTTTTTTTTTTTTTTTTTTGTCATTTTACTGTTTTTTAATCCCCCCCGAGAGGAGAGTCCAGAGGTCCAGAGGCAGGAGCCGGGGACGGGGCTGCGGAAACAAACGGACAACGGGAAGAAAAGCCAGGCCCTCCCGGCGCCCGGCCACCCGCCCTCCGCACTGAGCACCAGCGAAGTTGTGTCTGGCGGCGGCGGCCGCGGCCAGGTCAGCAGGCCGGCACCAGGCCCTTGGGCAAGGGGCAGCGGCGCTTGGGCCGGGGGCCGTCCTCCTCCTCGTCCTCATCCTCCTCGTCCTCCTCTTCCTCCTCTTCTTCGGACGATGAGCTGTCCAGGGTGAGGTCCACCACGTCCGCTCCTGGCTTCCCGTTCTCCACGCTGCCCACTGTGCCCACCCCGCCACCTGTGCCCCCCAGTGCCATGCCACCGCTGCCACCGTTCACGTTGGGGGTGGGCACCAGCCCGTTGGTGTCCGAGGTGCCTGCAGGCAACAGGGAAGGGGACACAGGTGTTCAAGGTGCTGCTGACACGGAGCAGGAACCAAGCCTGGCTTCCTGGCACCCAACAGTGGCTTCACATAAAAACACCCCTAGGAGCCGGGCAGGGTGGCGCAGGCCTGTAATCCCCCCACTCAGGAGGCTGAGGCAGGAGGATTGTTGAGAGTTCCAGACCAACCTGGGCTACAAAGCGAGCTCAAGGCCAGCCTGAACTGCTCACTGAAACCCTGTCTCAGAAAGACGAAAAGAACCAAAAAACCACACCCCATGAAGTTTGCGAGGTGGCACACTCCTGACATCCCCGGACCTCAAAGGCCAAGGCAGGAGGGTCCCAAGATGAAGTCCAGCAATTTAAAGGAGACTCAGAGGAATCTGCCTCCCAACAAGAGATCCAAAAGGGACAGGGCCATAGCTGCATGGAAGGCCCTGGGTCCAATCTTCAGTACTGGAAACAGAGGACACTGGGGGTGTGGCAGGACCACACGGGGCGCAGGGCTCCGGACTCACCGAGCACCAGGATGGGGCCCTGCGGGCTGCAGCTCCTCTCCCTCTCCGCGCGGATGGGGCACCACGAGCCATCGGCCAAGAACTCGATCTCGTCCGCATCCTCGCACTCGCTCAGGATCTTAGACAGCAGCCTACAGCAGACGGGAGGGAGGGCAGGCAGCTGACTGGGCTGGGTCCCGCCCCGGGCCCCACGCAGCACTGCTCGCCATGCTGCCCTCCGGGGCCACCCTCTCCTCCCATGCCAGGACACGAGCCCCCGAGCCCCATGACCTCAGTGCCCTGGGATCCTCTGTGCGGCCAGGTCCCATCTGAAGATGAGGAAACGAGGCCCCAGACAGGGACACACAGCCCTGCGGTCTCGAGGCTGCTGGCCCAGAGCCGTCCCCCAGCCCCCAGAGAAGTGGGTCCTACCCGAGGAGGGTCGGGGATTCATCCAACTTGGGCAGTGACCTGCAGGGTGGCGCAGCCACCTCCAGGCGGCCTCCCAGGATGCACCAGTCATGGGGACCAGGGTTGGACAGCAGGTACAACCACCTGTCCTGGACCCAAAAGCTGGGATCTGTGGGAGCTGCAGCCACCGCCTGGGGCCTGAGCCCCTACTCCAGGTTGGGGGCAAGGTGGCTCGGGGCACAGCTGTCAGGCTCGGAACAGAACACCCATTCAGGCCCAGCCCACGTGCTCAGCCCTAGGACCCTCAGTCCTCCCCACGCTGGACCGTGGAGCGGCCCATCAGGGAAGACCTGGGCTCAGCACTGGGCGGCTCTGGGTTCAAGCCGCCAGGCAGTTCCAAGTCTCGGCTTCCTCACAGGTAAGGTGGCGCAGGCTGAGCACAGCTCCAGGCTGAGCAAGTGCCCATCACTGCAGGTGGGAAAAGGAGGCGGAGAACCCGGCCGAATCCTGCGGCAGGGACCAGCTCCTGGGAGGGGCCGGCTGGGAGTGACGCCCACCCTGGAGGCGGCCCACCTCCTGCAGCCCAGGCCCAGCTAGAGCAGCTGGCCCTGAGCTGAGCTGAGGGGCCTGGCAGGAGCCCCAGCAGGTGACAGTCATCGGGGCTCAGGTTCCTGAAACCTACACCCAGCCAGTTTCCTTTTCCAGGAGCAAGGACCAGGCCCACCCGCTGCAGTGCTTGAGGCCTTACAGGCTGGCCACGGGCTGGAGCCACTGAGGAGAGGCCCAGAGCCGGCAGGACAAGGAAGAGCTGGCGGCCTCAGGAGGACCCGAGACCACAGGCTCCAGGTCATAGAGGCCCCAACGACATGGCTGTGTGGCCACGGGCTCTGCGCAGTGAAGGGCTCAAACCCGAGACCCACCCGTCGATGATGAGCTGGTCGTAGGGCGCCGGCTTGTCGCACACCGGGCACATCCAGGTGGGCTTCTTCTCGTTCATCTGCAGGTAGAACACTGCGTCGAAGCACTGCAGGTGTGCACAGGTCTCCGCGCGGCAGGGCACCGAGAGCCGCATCTTCACCAGCTGCGGGCAGGAGCCGGATGAGCCTGGGCCGCCACGGCCGGCCTGCCCCCGATGTGTCCTATCACGCCATCCTCTCCACTCCCACCCGGGACACCCAGGGGATGCCACGGAGGCCGGCCCTGCTCTACAGTGTGCCCCTGGTGACTGAGGAGTCAAGGCTGCTAGGGGACACAGGGGACGCACCACACCCACTCACCGGGCAGATGAGGGAGACCCGCACACCGGTGGTGGCGATCTCGCTGTCGGGGTCCAGACGCAGCTTCTCCTTGACTGGGGAGAGGGGTGGTGGCATCAGCGGAGAAGGGGCTGCGTGGCAGTGCACAAGCACCCCGAGCCCTCGAGGACAGGAGCTCCCCAAACGGAAGCTCAGGGTCCAGCGGCCCAACTGAGCACCAGAGCGGCTGGGAAGCAGGTGGCCCTTGTGGGCTTCTGCTGACCCGCAGGGCATTTCCAGAAAGACCAAGCAGCACCAGGTCTCCCATAGCACTCTGCGTGAGCCCACTAATTCTGCCATGAGGCCTTTTCCCGAGGAATCTCGGGGTCCTCGGCGGGGCGGCCCCCTCGCAGCGCGGCCCTGAACCCTGCCAGTGCCACATAGCTTTGGGCCTCCGAAGGCCCAGCAAGCGACCTGCTGGTCTGGGGAACGCACCACAGCAGAGATCCCAGGGCGCATGCGAGGCGGAAGGCTGCCCCTCCTGCTGCGGCCACTTTTTGTTTTTTGGTTTTTGAAACAAAGTTTCCATATGCAGCTCAGGTTGGCCAAAAAGTCATAGTGAGCCTCCTGCCTCAGCCTCCCAAGAGGTTGGATTATGGGTTCTGACACTCGGCTTGGCAGCTTCTGGCTTTCTCAGGCCCTCAACTCCCCCCAAGTACAAAACAGATCAAAAGCTGCCAGGTCCCATGCCCCCCGCCCACCTCACCCCACCAGGTGCCGGCTGAGACTGGCCGCCCTAGCTGCGGGCTCACCTAGTGCCTTGCACAGCTCAGGGTGCTTCACGCCGATGGTCTCCAGCCTCTGCAGCAGCTCCGCAGAGGTCAGCTGCCGCACCAGGTACAGCGCGGCCGAGTAGCTCTGCGGGGCGGGGCGGGGAGGGCGTCAGGAGGGCGGAGGGGCGGGCTGGGGGCGGGGCTGCGAGCCGCGCAGGCGCACTCACCTTGCCGTAGTTCCCCCAGGTGACCGTGATGCGGTTGGTGGCCGAGGACAGGTACATGAGGTGGGTGAGGTTGATGGGGCGGCAGGGCCTCTTGGGCTCCACTCCGGGCTTGTTGGAGGGGTAGTAGCCCTGCGCGGAGCGGCGGCTCAGCTGCCGCCCGCCCCACCCCCCGCGGCTGCTCACCGGGAACCCCGCCCCTCCCTCCAGGGCCCCGCCCCTCCCAGGCCCCGCCCCTCCCAGGCCCCGCCCCCGCGGGCTGCTCACCGGGACGGAGCAGTAGGTGTGGTTAACCTTGACTGCGATGTTGGGCGGGTACTGGTCCTCCTGCGGGCAGCTGGTGTCTGAGTAACAGATTCTGCAAGGACAGCGGGACCTGAAGCCTCTGGGGGCAGCGGGAGGGAGGAAGCCGTCCACAAATCTCGGGGAGAAGGTTAAATACAGGGCGGGGAGGGAGGAGGGACCAGGTCTGCGTCCCAGACCCGAGATCGGAGAGGGAGGCGGCTGCGCCCCGGGCGCGGACACCCGGGCCTACCTGAGCACGACCTGCACGGCCTTGACTCCGGGCTGCAGCTCTCTGCGGGTACAGGGGAGGAGCAGCGGTCAGGGGGGCAGGCGCGCAGCACAGCTACCCTCAGGGGGCCAACCTGGGGACCCCACCGCCCCGGCCCTGGGTGACTAGGCAGGGCGCAGGAGCTGTGGCCGGCGGGGACCCACCTGGAGTTCCGGATCAGCTCCACCTGCCGCGGCGTAAGCGCGAAGATGCAGGGGCTCTCCTGTAGCTTCTCGTTATTCTGTGGGACTGAGGGTGGGCAGGGTCAGCACCATGCTGCTTCCTGGCCAGCAGGCCCAGCCGTCCCTCCTTGGACCAGAGTGACCTCTCTTCCAGGCCACTCTCCACTGCCTGCGACAGATGCTGGGAGACACAGTCTCACATGCCACCACCCACTGAGGGCCCTCGAGGAGCACAGCAGTGCAAAGTGGGGATCAGAGCCGCTCCCGGGCGGGCCGCACAGGTCCTGGCCCTGGCTCTCCCACCGCCAGCCCTTCGGCCCATAGACGGGATCTTGAGAGGCTGGCCCACATGCCACACAAAGCGCCTACTGGATGCAGACCCTGGAAGCTGAGGTGTGCAGATTTCTTGGATGGGAACGTGATGATTACTGGCTTAGGCTCTTCGTGCCCTATTACCAGATGGAAATGCTTTTTTTCCCTGCTTTCTTTGGTTGTTGTGAAACAGGGTGTTGGCCCACGCAGATCTCAAACTTGTGGCAGTCTTCCTGCCTCAGCCTTCCAAATGCTGCAATTACAGGCGTGCACCACCATGGCCAGCCAAGGACAGAGACCCTCTGAAGCCAACAGGTAACGCCACTCTCCCAATGCTTGTGTGATCAGGCCAGGGACAAGCACACCGTACTCCAGGGCTTAAAGTTCGGAAGGAAAAGCTCAAGGTGGCGGCACACACCTGCTATTCCAGTGCTTGGGCAGCTGAGGTAGGAGCCCTGCAAGTTCAAGGCCAACTCACAATACAAACTGGGACCTTGTATAAAATAATAAATAAATATTTCCTGATCAACAATCGAGGCTTCCTCCCAGAGACGCCAGGGGAAAAGTGCAAATGAAATCAGTGGAGTGTGGTGGTGCATGACTGTCACCCCAGCACTCAGGAGGCTGAGGCAGGAGGATCCCTGTGAGTTCCAGGCCAGCCTGGGCTGTATAAGTGAGTTCAAGGCCACCCCGAACGACACAGTGAGACCCTGTCTCAAAAGATAAAGTAGAAGCTGAAGTCACAGAAGGAAGGAAGTAACAAGAGATAAAATTTCAAAGCCCTCTGACAGACATGTTGCTAGGCTGAAGAGAAAGAAGAGAAGGACACCAGCTGTCCCTAGAGGGAGTGGGATGCAGACAGCACGCGGAGCCCACGGCTGCTCTGGTCAGCGGGAAACGGAAGGCCTCCTCGGCACGGGGCATCCGGGCAGCCTGGTCAGAAGGACCAGCTTTCCCCAACATGCGCCTATCCAGACACGCACCACGGCACCGAGCTGCAGCTCCTCACCCACTAAAAAGACCTCATCCAAAATTCGTCATTCATACCTTTCCACAAAGAAACCTGCAGGTCCAGGTCGGTGAATTCCAGGCAGACAGGGACACATCTTCCCCACCGCTTTCGGGAAACACAAGGAAAGAACACTTCCCAACCCATTTTATGAAGGAAGAAAGCACAACTGATACCAAAACCTGAACAGGTACAGCAGGGAAAAACAAAAAACAAAACAAAACCAAGAGCAGGCATGGTGCCACACACCTGTCACCCCAGCATTCTGTGAGGCTGAGGCAGGAGGATCACAGAGTCAAGCCCAGCCTGGGCAACCTAGGAAGACCCTGTGTCAAAATAAAAAAAGGGCTGGGACGAACTCAGTGCAAAGGCCTCGAGTTCCCCCAGTACTGCAAGAAAGAACATGAAAAAAGAAAATTACAAATACAGATTGCTCAAAAACAGAGATAAAAAAACCCTTGACCAAACAGAAGCAAGGCCAGGTGCAGTGTGCTGGCTGGGAGTGAGTCCTAGCACTCAGGACTGCGGTGAGCTTGAGGCCGGCCTGAGTTACAAAGTGAGTTCAAAGCAGCCGGAACCACATGGCAAGACCCTGTCTCAAAAACAAAAACAAAACTGGGACAGACATCCCAGATCCCCGGGGTCTGTCCCCAGAAGACGAGTTCATTTTTGCTTTGTTTTACTCGACACGGGACTGAACCCAGACTGTGCTAGGGAATATCCCCAGCTCTTCTTTATCGGTACCGGGGATTGAACTCACGACTGTCTGCTTGCAAGGCAGGCACTTATGCCGCTGAGCTAAATCCCCAGGCCCTCTTCTTTATCTTTTAGTTTTGAAACAGGGTCTCATGAAATTGCCCAGGCTCGTGTGAACTTGAGATCCTCCTGCCTCAGCCTCCCAAGTACCTGGGATGACAGGGTGCACCACCGTTCAGGCCCAAGGTGGAATGTGGAAACCTCTGCAGCCCCTGGAACGGCTAACGTTCAGAGGACAACTCCATGAGCTGGTGAGGTTCCAGAGCACCCAGCAGCTTCTGTGGGTAAGGCCTGAGAATAGCCTCACCGCTGAGGAAAGTGGCTTTGTGAAGTCCCATGGACGCCTCCACCCCAGGCTGCCGTTCCCCAAACACACAGGGACCTCAGTGTACAAGGACTGCGCTCCAAGCGCACAGCACACATCACAGTCCCAGCCCTCAAGGAGCCGAGGCTAGCGGAGAGGTCAGCAGGGGCTACAGGGCCAGACCCTGTCTTAACACCATGCTGAGCTTGGCAAGGTGGCGCACTCCTGTGACCCCAGCAACCCAGGAGGCTGAGGCTCGAGAACTCAGGTTCCAAGGGCGCCCAGGAAAATTTAGGGAGATTATGGAATTTAAGAAGTGGTGGGGGGTGGCTCAGAGATGAATGCTCTTAGAGCAAAGGCTCTGGGCTCCATCTCAGCGCCGCCGGAGACACAGGAAACAGGACCCGACCCTGTTAGGAGCCGGGGTCCGGGGACTCCGGGCTCCGGTCAAGCCGCGAGCGGGAGGGCTGCGCGCTGCACCCTGCAGCTCCGCCCCGCTGCCTGGGAGGTGTGCGCATGCGCAGGCCTGTGCGCGCCTGCTTGCACCGGCTCCCTCATCTGGGGTGCAGGGTCCCCTCAGGCACCGAGCTCTGCAGGTGCCAAGTCCCTAACATCGAAGGGCATGGTGCACACACACCAGGCAGGCGCTGAGCCACCCCGCTCCAGGTGACGCCCACTACCCGCGCCATGTCCACGCACTGTGTGGCTTGGGTAGCGACAGGCAGGAGTCCGACTGCGTCCTGGGGAGAGTCGCTGACTCCAGGCGGTCGACCCCATGGCCGCAGAGCCCATCCTCGGCGGGCGACCTGGCAGGCAGGGAGGCAGTGAGGGCCTGTGCGGGTGGCAGAGAGAGGCCCAGTGCCCACCGAAGCCCTCGAGCCCGGAAGGGAAAAAACACGCAGGCCACCGTGTCTGTCCGCAGTGACTGCTCCAAAGAGCCCCCCCACAGGGCCGGCACGCAAGGCCCGTGGCACCAGAACCAGCGGGGGCCAAGCTGGGCCTGGTGGCGCCTGTCATCCCAGCACTCTGGAAGGCTGAGGCAGGAGGATGGCACGGTAAGCCCTGCCTGAATAACTTAGCAAGACAGCAAATACAAAAAAAGCTGCAGACACAGCTCAGGGTGAAGGCTCTGGGTTTCATTTCTTTTCTTTCCAAATACATTTCATTTCAAGGAGAAAAAAGGAGAAGGAAAACTAAAAATTTTGAAGTATGTCAACCAGGGTACACCACGGCCCACTGTCATCCCCAAATCACTCACCCAGAGCACAGGACATCTGCACTCAACTGTCCCAACAACATGGGCACAAATCTTTCTCTTCAGTGAACCCAGAGAAATCAGCAGTGTAACTGCCCTAACTACGCCCTTATATACGTGTCCACACACACACCACGGAGGTCTCCAGCTACCCTCCTTCACGGCCGAGGGGTGCTTCACTGTGTAAACACACACCCGTTCCACCGTTCCACCGTTCCTCAGTCCACGCCAGCCAGAAAATAATTAGAACACAGCAGAAGCAGCTGGGGCTGCCTGGATTAGACCCCAGCCACAGCCCTCCAGGCTGGGCCTACTCCCCACTCCCCTTAAAGGCTTGGTTCTAGGGGTTCACACAAGTTCCTCAGCTGGGTCCCAGAAAGAGGCGACCTCAATGACAGTCACCCCGCACCACCCACTTCCCACTTGTTTGTGGAGAGCCTGGCTGGTCCCTTGGTGCCAGCAGGGTGCAGGGTGTGGAGGAGCAGGAGGGCCAGCTAATGAACAGCAGGGCACACAGGCCCCCTGCAGGCATGCCCAGATCTGCCCATGGCACCTGGGCACCTGGGGAGCAATTATCCCGGACTGGGAGGGAGGGGTGCCCGTCATCCCAGCTCCCAGGGAGGCTGAGACAGGAGGACGGCAGCTCCCTCTGGGCGCAGTACCGAGACCCCACCTCCAGCCTCAAACCAGCAGCAGCGCTCAGCAGTGAGTGCCGGCTCAGCACTGGAGCCCCAGAAAGGAAAAAGAGAAGGCTCCCCCGCCCGCCCCACCAGCAGGTCTCCTCGAAGAGGGGCTGGAGCCCCCAGGGAGCAGCAGAGCACAGATGTGAAGAGAAAGGCTGGGAACCTGCCATCGGCACCCTTCCTCAGCAAGCCTGCGAGAGTGCCCGATACAGGGACACATGCGGGGCCGCCACCTGTGCCCCTGGGACAGGCTGTGGGGTCCCCTAACTCCGCCTCCAGGATGGGTGGCGGCAGGAGCACCTGCCAGAGACAAACACCCAGTCCCCTGCAGTTCTGCTTTCCAGCACTCCACTGGGGTGACCCCTTGCTGGCCTGACTTCCCCCCACTGATGCCCCCCCTGCCCCCCTCACTCCCATCGGCCACCATCATCCCGCTCAGGTCCGGGGCCCTGGCCACACTGGGGAGGCGGCCTCCTCCCCACTCCCGGAGGCCCACCCTGGCTCCGTGCTCTGCGCCCCGCCACCAAGGAACCTGAGGTCGGTCCTGACCCTGGGTCCATCCCTGAGCAGGTGCTGCCACCTCGGGTGCCAATGCCCGGCTGCCAGCCCAGCACTGCAGCAGGCTGAGGCAGGAGGATACCACATTTGAGCCCGGCCTGGGCAGTTTAGAGAGACCCAGTCTCAAAATAAACAGTGGGGAGCGGCTGAGGGGGCAGCACTGTGTGAGGGCCCTGGGTACAAAACCCCAGTCTGGCACCTGGCCTTTCTCTAAACCCCCCAAGCAAAGGGCCTCCCCGCATCCCGACCCAGTTCTGAGACACCGAGGCTGGGCACGCAGGCCAGGTCAACGCAGGGACAGCAAGGGGCCAAAAGGCATTTCTGCTGTCACCTGGGTTCCTGGGAAGCCAGGGGACCTGGAAGACCAGGGCGAGGCCCTCAGCTGGCCACCAAGGACCTATGCAAAGACCACAACCACTCGCAATGTGGCCTGCAGGCACCCAGGACTGCAGCGAGGGCCGGCAGCCCCGAGCAGGCCTGAGCCCCGCCCGGCACACGGAGGAGAAGGCAGAGAGCACCTCTGCCCTGGCCGCTGGCAGCCATGAATATTTAATGCCCAGCAGATGCCCGCCACGGGGGCCCAGCAGCTCCCGCCCTATGGCCTGTGCTGGCCATGGCCGGCTTCTGGGCCGGTGACTTGCACTTTCTGTGATGAACGTGCGCTTTTATGAAGATTTAAGTAAAAGCAGTGAAAGGAGCACATTTATTTTCGCAGCACTGGGGATGGCACCCGCGGCCTTCACACTGAGCTACAACCTCGGCCCTTTCTTATTCAGGGTCTCCCTAAGCTGTCAAATTGCCCAGGCTGGGCTCTAACTTACAGTCCTTCTGCCTCGGCCTCCCGGAGTGCTGGGACTTCCCAGGTGCACACTGCAACCAGCTCACAAACATTTCAGAGTAACTGGAGAGAGCGTTCACCAGCCCCAGGCTGGAACCCACCCGTGGCAGCTCCCTGCCCTCGGCCCAGGTCAGCCCTGCTGCTCCAGTGGCCAGAGGATGGGGAGGAGCAGGGTGCCCCCATCAGGCACACAGGCCGGCTGACCCCCAGACTGAGCCTGGACAGCATGGGGTTGTGGTCCGAGGATGGGAAGCGGGGTAGGCAGAGCCAGGGCAATGGTGGCCCCAGGCCCTGGGTGGGGGGTTCCCCTCAGGCATGGAAGCTGACCACCCAGCCTCCCCTGGCCTCCGTGTGCAGGCCTCTTTGGGATGGGATGGGAGGCAGCCAGGGGACAGGGTCATGAGTGGAGAGGGCTACGGGGCAGGGTGAGGGTCGCACCAGCCTGCGCGCCCCTGCTGTGCTGCGCCCTGCCCACAGCCTGCTGGACACTGCATGAACCACTGGGCCCAGATATTGGGGTGCACACCCCACGAACAGTGCAGAGAGCGACCTGGCACTGGGAGAATGCTATGGGGACAATGGGGCTGTGTGGGTGGCTACTATGGAGGCCGTTCAGAGGTGGGGACAGGCCAGGCTGGGAAGGGTCAGGGCAAAGCCATCTGAGTACCTGGAAAGGAATCTAACTCAGGACCTGAGGACAGTGACACAGTATGCGTCCACCCACGGTGTGTGGGCACCATGCTCGGTGCCCCCTCAGGCTGTTCACCGATGGGAACGGCACGGAAGCCGGTGTGGCGGCGGCACACATCTGCCCCCCCAGTACTACGGGCAGCTGAGGCAGGAGGACTACAGATTCAAACACAGCCTAGGCAACAAGACAAGTTAGTGCAAGTCTACCTCAGAACTTAAGAAAATTTAACAATGGGGAGCTGGGGATTTAGCTTAGCGGCATAAGCACCTGCCTTGCAAGCAGGTAGTCGTGAGTTCGATTTCCACTACCGATAAAACGAAAAAGACAAAAAAAAGAAAACTTAACAAGGAAGCCGGGCCGATGGCCCACGCCTGTAAGCCCAGCGGTGGGGAGGCTGAGGCAGGTGGGCTGCCGTGAGTTCCAGGCCAGCCTGGGCTACACAGTGAGTTCAAACCGGCCTGGAATGCACAGCAAGACCCTGCCTCACACAAACACCGGCTGGGGGTGTTGCTCAGCAGGAAGGGCCAGCCCCAGCCGTGGCAATGGGGCAGGAAACACACAATGAGAAGGGCTCTGGGCCCCAGTCCGCAGGGCCAGGGTGCTCAGTTCCTGCTGGTCCCTATGCCCACTGTCCGTGAGTCCCCCCTCCCAGGACACCCATGATGGTCACAATGGCTCCATTCAGCCTGGGATCAGCCCTCTCGCGCTGCCAGGCCTCCCCCCCACCCCCCCGCCCGTGCCTGGCCGCTGGCGGCGCTCCCTGGGGCCTCACAAATGCCAGCGCTTCCAGGGAGTCCTCCTGGGCCACTCCCTTTGGACACACAGCCCTGGTGGGGAGGGACCAAGGACACTACCTCGGGCCGCGTACCTGGGTGGCCCTGGGGATGTCGTGGTGATGGGGCCAGGAGCCAGTCACTTTGTACCGCACAGGACTGGGCGCAGCTCGGAGCCAGCCCTCCTGTCCTGCCCCAGCCTCGATTCCCCACACACCTCTCAGCCTGGGCCCAGTGCTGACAGGACCCTGGCCTGCCGAGGTCAGCAGAGGCCTCCTGCCCTGGGCTCCTCTCAGAGAGGGAACTGGTCCCCGATCTGGAGAGCCCCAGCCATGGGTGCAGGCTTCAGTCTGCCGGGAAGAGGGGTCAGGCCGGCAGGACAGGAGCTCGGGCTGCAGTGTGACCTTGGGCGAGTCTCCTGACCTCACTGGGCATCAGCCCTGAGCCCCGGCAGAGGGCCGCCAGCCTCCTGAGGCCCTGGCTAAGCCCAGGCTCCCTCCCCTCCCCCAGCCCAGAACTGCATGTGTGATTTACGGCTCCGTCTGCCTGGCCCCATCTCTGCCCCAGAGCTGGCCTCAGCTCTTTTGGGGAATCGGACCAAGCGGCTCTTTTGAGGAACAGGACCTGATCGGGGGGCTAGGGCCAGGGTGAGGGGAAGGGAGCCAGTGAAGCTGGGTAGCACCAGTGCCACCGACATTCCCGCAGGGAAGGGCAAGGGCAGGGCAGCACACACTGAGGGACCGCTCCACAAGGACCTGGGCAGAAGCCGGGGTGCAGGAGGCAGGGCAGGGTGGCCTCTTTGTTCTGCCGCAGCAGCTCCTGGTGCAGACAGAGGAGCAGGCTCTCCCAGAGATCAGGTGACCGGGTGGGGGGGCATCTCGCACACTGATGCATTGTGGGGCAGGGCGGAGCAGGCGGCCCGCTTGCCCTGCAGGAAGGAAGCCCTCCATGCAGGCGGGGAGACGAGGCAACCACCAGCGTTCAAAGTCACACCCCACCGGAACCCCAGCCTCCTGATGCTCAGTCATTCAAATCGTCACTTCAGCCTCAGAGCCACCCAGCTGCTCCCTGAGGGCTCAGAGCACAGGGCAGGTGGCTCCCAGCATCCAGAGGCTGGGGGGGATGAGCATTGGGCCCCACAAGTACTGCTGGGCCAGCTGTCCACCAGTGGCTCTGCTCAAGCCGGTGGCACTCATGCCAGAGGCGGTACTGTACGAGGGAGAGCAGGGCCTCACTGGCACCACCCCCAGCTGCTGCAGCCCCACCTCACTCCACAGCCACCCTCCCCGGCCTCGCCAAGGCCAGTGGCCGTGGGCAGGAGGGCTGCACCTGCAGGGTCTCCCTGCTCCAGGGCAGGGGTCTTGACTTGCTGGCCCACTGGTCCGAGCTGAAGTGTACTTGTGCCACACAAGGGCCCCTGGATCTTTTTGGGGACAGGCAGGATGCCAAGTCAGCAGAAGGGGTACAGGTGTCGGAGCCACTGAGCCCTAGCAAGATGGGGAGCGGAGAAGGGGCCGAGGCAGGCAGAGGCCAACTCATGGAGAGAGCAGGCTCTGAGGCGGGCAGGGCAGGGCAGGGCAGGTGCGGGAGCCTTGGCTCCTCTCTGTCCCGAGGGGGTTGGAGGTCTCCGAGGACGCCCAGGAACCTGGACGGATCTGAGGGCCTGGGGGCCCTGGAGGCTGCGAGCCCCTTCACCTGGGAGCCCAAAGTGCTGCACAGTGCCCCATGAGCGCTCAGGACAGAGAGGCACGAGATTGCCCAGGCCCTTGCAGAAAGGAGGTAGGGCCACCGAGCTCTCCCCTTGTCCCACGGGCACTAAGCACAGGGCAGCCAGCCACTAACCCCCCACCCACTGTGGTCCCAGGAGTCACACTGCCCTGGAGGCCGAGGCATGGGTGACGTGACATAGCCCAAGCCAAGTTGTGTCTCCTCCAAGATGACTTCTAGGAAGGGCTGTAGCAGCCAGGCAGAAGGATTAGCCTCCCATTAGGAGGCTGAGGCAGAAGGACGGTTTGAGCAACACTAAGACTCTACCTAAAAAAGACCCCACAAACCTGAGCCCCGATGGCTTCCAGACATCTGAGGCCTGGGACCCGACTAACACCTCATTGCTGGAAGCTGCTGGGTCACACAGCAGGTGTCACCCACGTCAGGGCCGGCGACACTCACCTAGCTCGGTGGGCTTCAGCAGCTCGTCCAGCATGTTGAAGAAGGGCAGCTTCACCAGGCGGACCTCGGGCTTGAGGGCCTTGGCGGGCAAACGTCCCAGTCCGTTCAGGTACTTCCCGTAGAGCACGGGGTAGTCAATATTGGGGCCCGACAGGGGAGTCCTGGGCACAGCGCCCGCCCGCTCGTAGGCCGAGTGCACGGTGAGAGGGTCCAGGGGCCGGTGTGGCTGCGGGCCCGGCTCGGTGCTCTTCTTGGCATAGCGCGTCTCGTACAGCTCCTTGATCTTCTTGAAGAGCTCAGGGCTGCAGTCAAATTGCACCAGCTGCAGCGCCCTGGTGACCAGCTCGTGCTTCAGCCCGCTCTTGCTGCGGCCCACAAACCCTAGCAGCATCTGCAGGTCGGAGACCCGGAAGCTCATCACCATGTTCTGAGGAGGAGCAAGCACATACATACTGCTCAGAGAGCGGGCGGCCCAGGCCCCGGGCCCCAGCCTCTCCCAAGCACCTGCAAGGCAGCACAAGCACCCCGGCCCTCCCCCTTCTATTTGAGGTTCTCTCTTCCCATCTTCAAGCTTGCAGATACCTAAGGCAGGAAATGGGACCCAGACATGGGGTCACACACTTGTCACCCCAACACTGGGGGTATTGAGGCAAGGACATGACTGAGGATTGGGGATCACCCTGAAACTACATGGTGAGCTTGTCTCAAAAAATCAAAACCAACACAAACCAAAAAAAGACACTGGAGCCAGCACTCAGGAGGCTGAGACAGGAGGATCGTTGAGAGTTCGAGACCACCCTGGGCTACAAAGTGAGCTCAAGGCCAGCCTGACCTGCACAGTGAGACCCTGCCTCAAAAAGACAAAAAAAAAAAAAAAAAAAAACACTGGAAACCTTGCTGTGCGTGGAAGAAACCCTTGCCAGTTCTCAGCTGGCACACACCGACAGCCTCCCTGACCCTCGGTCCCCTCGCTGCAGCAGGTCACAATCAATCTCCACCTCCTCAGCACAGAGCAGGCGCCAGGTGAGGCAGCCTGAGTAGAGTGCTGAGCTCCGAGGGAACGCTCAACCACCCAGGGCCCACAAGAGTTTCTGTTCCACGGAGGGCACTGGCGCCACTGTTTACTTGACACTAACCCACTGGCAGGAAGCCAGGTGGACGCGTGATCACACCCTAGCATGAACCCCAAGACACTCCTGCCAAGGTGGGGTGCATGCACGGAAGCAGGGCAGCTTGGAACCCCCAGCCTGACTCTAGCAGGGAGGGACCTGCGCAAGACACCAACACTGAGCTGGGCCTCAGCTTTGCCAAGTCTCTCAGGCAGGGCCTCGCCACCTGGCCCACCCTGGGTCACTCCCTGTAGCAAGTGTCCTGGTCACAGCAGGGCTGAGTGGCCTGCCTCCACCTACTCCAAGCCAAAAGTGACTCCAGTATGACAACCACCAATGTCCCCAGGTATCCCCCAGGGTCCAGGTGGGGTCACTGCTTGAGAACAGCTCATCTGAGGCCTCAAACAGCCACACAGGCCAGGAACTGGGCTGGTGGCAAAGCTGTGGCCGTGGGGTGCCAGGATTGGATACCCATTACCTGGCCCTGGTCCCTTTATAGCTAATCAAAGCAAATCAGAGCCCAACGGGCCCCAGCGTGTGACCTGGGGTTGCCTGGGGTTGGGGGAAGATCTCAAGAGAGCCCGTGTCCTCCAGCGATGGGGCAGCCGGGTCCTGTGTCAACTCTGCTGACTGAAACCTGGTGGGGATGGAGCCTTTGGGGGAGGGAACAGGATAGGGTGCAGTGGATGTGGACAGCTGGTGGGGTGCCCAGAGCAGCCTCAGAAATCTATACATACCCCAGCCCCACTCCACCAGCAGGTGGGAGCTGCTGGGGACCCCGATGCATGCCACACCATGGCCTGTGTGCTGAGCTGAGAGGTCTGGCTTTCCACCCCTGGCCGGGGAAGGCGGAGGCCCAAGGCAGAGGCAGCCCCGAGAGCTGGAGCCAGAGTTCCCTGGGGGCCTGGTCCATTTTAAGGGCTGCATAGGCCCGAAGTGCCCCAGACGAACATGTCAACTGCCAGTCCTGGGACACAGTGGCCCTGCAGAGTGCCTGGGCATCAGTGTCTGCCAAGCCTTTCAGGGCGCAAACCTCTCACGACCTGCCCCTCTTACACATCGGAGGAAACTGAGGCCGGGAGGCGGGGGGGGGGGGGGCAGCAGCTGCCTTGGGTTCCTGGGTACAAAGGGAGAGCCAGTGTCTGGCTCCACAGCCGAGAGGCTGAGGGCATTTCCTTCCATCCCCCTGGCTGCAGGGGCGTGGAAGCCTTTGCCAGCCGGCACAGTGACACCCAGGGACCCAGGCAGCCTGGGGGTGCTTGGGAAGAAAGATGCCTCCCTCCAGACTTCAAACCTGCAGCAGCAACCACCAGGCTCTCAGACAAACTACTTCTCCTGGAGAAGGCTCCAATCCACAAGGAGAGGCAGTATGATGAGGCAGGGGCTGATCACACGGGGCAGGTGGGCTTGGTGGCCCCCATGACACCACCCACTGTGGTGCGCACCCAGAATGCGTGAGCAGCCCACAGCACATTGCTCTTCCTGCCATATGTTTGTGACTTGGACTTCTCCACTGCTGGAGCCTGGCCTTGGAGGATGGGGACACTGGGGGGTGTGTGGATGTACAGGAAAAAGCCCCAAAGCCCGAGGGTCACTTCCTGCCCTGGCTGTGTGCACACCCACCTGTCAGGTCTGTGTTTATAAACTGTGCCAGGGCCCTGCAGCCCCTGCAGCTTTTGGAGCTGAGCTGCACCTCAGGCTTCTTTAGACCCCACTAGGGGAAAGGGCTGCCTGGGCATAGCAGCTGCGCCTCACCCTCTCTCTGCTCAAGCCTGGGAGGCATTCGAGGGAAATCAAGTCAGGGTCCTGTCCACAGACAAGCATGCATGTGCAGAGGCAGCAAACCGCACCCTCAAACCGCTGCAGGGGCCACCGGTGAAAGATCTCAGGTGTCACAATCTGCCAAGGAGCCCCCTGAGCTCTTGTCTCTGATTAGCCTCTGTATCTCCCATGTTCAGGATGCTCTGGAAAAAGCTCCTGAAAAACGATGGGGTGCTTCAAGGAGGTAATGAAAGACGGCTCCAGGAGACAGAAAGCGGAGGCCAGGGAATGCGCGCTGCAGCCTCCAGCTCCCTCCACGAGGTCTCACAACTGGTTTAGACTCTGAAAAAAGGGTCCCCTTGATTTAATTGGGATGTGGGGGGGGGGCGGCCAGCAGAGGGTCAAGAGGAGTTCATGAGATCATATTTCAAGACCCTACATGATGCAAAAAGGAACCACCAGAGCCCCCTCCCTCTGCTAGGGTAGGGGGGCAGGGAAGGGTCGTCCAGAGGCGCAGCCCCGCTCTCAGTATGAGGCTCCATTTCAGGGTTCTGGAGACTCCACGGAACCCCAAGCCTGACAGCTGCAGGTAGAGCTCAGACCTCCACACCCCCAAGGCAGAATCATGTCCCAGAGCTGGGGAGAGGAGCAGACAATGGGCGCAGGACTGGACGGAAAAGGGGTCAAACCCCATAATCACAGGTCTATCGGGACAAGGAGAGGAGGGCATTGTAAGAGGGAGGACTCTGTGGAGAGAAAACGTTCCGAGGGAAGACCACAACGGGGCAGGGCTCCCCAGGCAAGTAGCTGCAGCACCTGAACCAAAGCGCTTTGGAAGCAGAAGGGATCAAAGACAAGGACGCTCGGCCCCCCTTTGGGCGACACACTGGAAGACGGCACATCTCTGGGATGCTCCGAGTTCAGTCCCAAGACAGTCAGGCTAGGAAGGGCAGTGTCTACAGGATGTGGAACCTGGACCTGAAGAATTGGGTCGCAGTGGCGGAAACCGAGTGACCCACCCACCGTGGAACTAGGTCGTTGGGGGCTCTCAAAAGAGCAATACATGGGGAAAAATAAGGCAACTCGGAAGTCAGAGCTGGGTGCAGGAGAGAAGGTGAGACGTAACCCAACATGCAGACGCACTGCTGCGTGAGGCAGGAGGTACACAACAGGCGAGGATCTGCTCCTTGAAGTGTGGGGTGCAGAGTCTCCCGTTTCCAAAGGAAACAGGGGGAGAAGAAAGAACCCAGGACCCGAGACTGAGCTGGGAACTCAAGACCTCTGATTTAAAACGGGGGTTAGGGCTCCAGTCCTCGAGGAAAGCAAGGGATGCACCTGGTAAGCTCCCCAAGTGTCGGGAGGGGGCGGGGCCCCGGGACCCACACTGGAGCTGAAGAGTGGACTCCAAAGTGAGCTGGGCGCAGGGATCCCAAGAGACCGTACCACTGGGGTTGGTTCAGGACCCTGGGTGGCGGCGGAGAACGGGGAACGCCATCCTGGGGTCAGGGGACTTCTCTAAGCGGGTACTCACGGACCCCAGGCTGGCCTGCAGAGACGCAAGATAACACCCGAGCACCGGTCCTCGGCTGCACGAGGGCGGCGAGGCGCAGACACAGAGCTCGGACCCCGCTCGGGACGAAGCCAGCCCGTCCCGCTGTCAGGGGGGACTGTGCCTGGAGCAGAGCCAGTTCCCTAACCTGTCGCTTGGGGGTGGGCTCTGCCTCAAACCAGACAGGGACCCCGGCGCGGAGATCCGGGTGAGGTTTAGGGCCCCGCCCCCGGCCTCCCCGCCCCCCGCGCCCCAGGGCCGCAGCCCGGTACCCGGAGGACTAGCCTTGGTCGGGCCGCATCGCGCGGCCCCAGGCGGGAGCCACAGACCTCGGCTCGCGGCCCGAGCCCCGCCCCGTTCCCCGCCCGGCCCTGCCCGGCCGGCGCGGCCGCCGCTCACTCACTTTGGCCTCCACCAGCTCCGCCGCCATCTTGGCCACCAGCGTCCCCCGCGCCGGGAGCCCCCAGCCGTCGCGTCACGTGACCTCCCGCCACTCGTAGGCGGGGCCGCCGCCAGGGCCAATTAGCACCGGCGCGCGCTCCTCCCCCGGCGCGCGCGGTGGCGTACTGCGCAGGCGCACGCGGTGGCCGCCAGAGATTTGCGCCAATGAGAGTCGCTGAATACCGACCCCCTCCACCACGACTACACTCATTCCGCTCGCGACGACCACGCCCACCCCTGGCGGTGTCTGGCCTCTTAAAGAGGCACGGGGTTCGCGCAGGTGGGGGGCGCGTGCTGGGTCCCCTCTAGGGAGCTAAAGGGAGGTGGCGGCGGTGGCAGCGACAACAATGCAGCCAGGTGTCGCGGCTCTTCGCGCGCGGCGGCCGCCAGGTGCGTGTTCGAACTGCCTGGAGAGGCGGCCGCGGAGAAAAGGACGGTTGTTCAACCGCAAGGAACGCCAGCGCGTGCAGCGCGACGTTTGCACACCCAGCGGCCCCGACGCCCCGCGCGCTGCACATCCGGGTCCCGGCGCGCACATGGGGCGCGCGCTCCGCACCCCTAGGCTGGGCCGGGTGGGGAAGGGCGGACGCCGCCTCCCTGACTCCGCGGAGTTCGGGCTGCGCTCACTTAAACGCAGGCGACTCTGCTGCTCGGTTTCTCCGTCCTCACCCGCCGTGAGTCTGGGAACCTCGCCCGCTCTACAGCTGTCCATGACTCTCCCGTGCCCACCAGAATCGGGGCGCAAACTTTGCTGAGACAAAAGCAAAAAAAAAAAAAAAAAAAAAAGCAGGGACAAAACATATTCCAGAGCTCATCCCCTGAGATAATCCAGCCAAGCAAATATCTAGAGAGAACGTGAAAAAAAAAAAGTAATCGCAGAGTCTGCACCGCGCGTGGTGCACACGCCGGTAAGCCCCAGCGCTCAAGGCCGAGGCAGGAGGATCCGTGCGAGTTCGAGGCCACCTGGAACTGCATAGTGATACCCTGTCTCAGAAATACAAAAAAGTGAAATGTATTTATGTTTTGTTTTGGAAATGGCATTTGTCACTGTGTTCCCTAGCTGGGGAATCCTGGGCTCGGTAGATCTTTCTGTATCAGCATCCTGGAGTAGCTGGAGAATATTTGTAAAATAAAATTTTTTTAAAAAAAAGTGCATGGTGGCAAATGCCTGTAATCCCAGCACTAGGGAAGCTGAAGCAGGAGGATCCCTGTGAAGTCCATAGTAAGACACCCTCTTGGGCCAGGGATTTAGCGCCTGTCTGGCAAGTGTAAGAGGTCGGTCCCTGGTACCACAAAAAGAAAACAAAACAAAAACCACATTGTCTTAAAAAAATCACTGGGAGACTGGTTTTCTAATGCGTATAACATATAATCATTAGGTATATAAAGAATGTGGAAAGAAAAAGGTCTGTACAGTACAACACAGAAAATTTTTGTTGGGGGCTGGGGATTTAGCTCAGCAGCGTAAGCGCCTGCCTTGCAAGCAGGCAGTCGTGAGTTCGATCCGTGGTACTGATTTAAAAAAATAAAAATAAAAACTATGGTAGAATAATGGCTTGGGCATGTTGGTACACGCTTGTAATTCCCAGCATTCTGGAGTTGAGGCAGGAGGGTTCTTATGACCTCCAGGCCAGCCCGGGACTACAAAGTTAAAGTCCAGCCTGAACTACAGAGCAAAATCCTGTCTCAAAAGGACAAAAGAAATCTTAAAAAAGGTAATAATGGATAATTTTCTTATTCTTTGAGGCAAGGTCTCGCTGTGCAATTCAGATTGGCCTTGAACTCAGTAGGTAGACCAGGCTGGTCTCAGATTCACGGGAGCCTCCTGCCTCGGCCTTCTGAGTGAGAACCTCAGGTCAGGCTGCGTGACATTGTTAGACTCAGTGAAGGAAGTAAAAAAAAAAATAGAGGTGCGCAGAAATCAAAGCCTGGCACAGTCGTGGCCATCAGCCCAGCACTGCGTGTGTGAAGACTGATAAGTTTCCGGTGACGCCGGCAGGGGGGAAAGTGGGGCATCCACCTCTCAGCGCTCAGAGCAGCTTTTCAAGGGGAAGAATTAAGCATTTGTTCAGCTGCACCCCGTGCTCAGTCTGTCGGATCAAATAGCCCAGCATGATAAGGGCAAGTTCCTGTACAGAAGAATTTTTTTTTTTTTTTTTTTTTGGCCTTTTTCCTTTTCATCGGTACCAGGGATCGAACTCATGACTGCCTGCTTGCAAGGCAGGCGCTTATGCCGCTGAGCTAAATCTCCAGCCCCCAGAAGAATTCTTTTAAAAAATGTGGGATTTGGGGCTGGGGATTTAGCTCAGCGGCATAAACGCCTGCCTTGCAAGCAAGCAGTCCTGAGTTCGATCCCTGGTACCCATAAAAACGAAAAAGACAAAAAAAAAAAAAAAAAAAAAGAGGGATTTGTTTTGTTTTGAGTCACAGTCTCACTGTGTAGTCCTGACTGGCCTCAAACGTGTAGTGCGCCGCCTGCCTCAGCCTCCTCAGTGCTGGGGTCACGGGTGTGTGCCACAATGTGCAATTAAAAATGTGGAATACAGGGCTGGGGATTTAGCTCAGTGGCATGAGTGTCTGCCTTGCAAGCAGGCAGTCGTGAGTTCGATCCCTGGTACCGATAAAAAAGAAAAAGACAAAAAATAAAAATAAAAGCTGGATGTATAAGACTCCAGATTAAATCAGAGCTACAAAAAATGAAAATGAGGGGCTGGGGATTTAGCTCAGCGGCATAAGCGCCTGCCTTGCAAGCAGGCAGTCCTGAGTTCGATCCCTGGTACGGATAAAAAGGAAAAAGACCAAAAAAAGAAGAAAATGAAATTTAAATGGGGCATAGTGGCGCATGCCTGTCATCCTAGCACACAGGAGGCTGAGGCAGGAGGATCACTGAGTTCGAGGCCAGTATGGGCTACATAGTGAGCTCAAGGACCTGTCTTAAAAACAGAAACAAATACATGAAAATAAAATTAAAATAAAATGTAAATGCATTTTGAAATCCTGGGTTCAGTCCCCATTATGGGGTGAAGGGCATATTTTCATGTATTTCCCAGAATGTTTTGGTGAGTTAAAAATCAGAACTGCAGGGCTGGTGATTTAGCTCAATGACACAAGCACCAGCCTGGCAAGTGTGAAGTCGTGAGTTCAATCTCCAGTACCAAAAAATAAATAAATCAACATTGCAAAATCTTCCATGAAGGCAAGTCTCTCAGGGTCCCCAACGGTTTCATGCGTGGCCAGGATTGCCTTCGACCTTTAACCTTTAGTTCCCAACTTCCCATTTTAGACAGCACATGGCCTCTTCCAGTAAACACTACATTTCCCAGCATCTCTTGCAGCTATGTGTGGTCACATGATTGGATGCTGGCCAATGGGAGAGGTTATGCCGACATACCCGCCCTCCTCTTTTTCTCTTTCCTCCTAACCCGGAGTGGGAGGTGAAACTGATGAGCCCTTAAAGATAGAAACAGAAGGGGGGGGGGGAATCAAGGTGTATTATGTACAGGTACAAAATCTCTATGATGAATGTAATCATTGTATACACATAAACTGTACCAAGCAATAAACAGCGGTAAAACGTGGGAGAATCTTGGATCTTTATAGCTTTGTGGGGCAGAGGCAGAATCGGCTAGAAATTATGTTTCGTTTTGTTTTTCGGTACGGGGGATGGAACTCACAATCTCATGCTTGCTGGGTGGGTGCTTATGCCCCTGAGCTAAATCCCCAGCACTGTCTTGTTTTGAAGAGATGGCCTCAAGCTAGCACACACTTAATCCCAGTTCTCTGGGATCCCAAATTTGAGACTGCCCTAAACAGTTTAGCAAATTAGAGAAACTCTGTCTCAAAAAATAAATAAGAAAGGACGATCCTGATTCTTTGTCTAGAATGGGCATAAACTCTTAGACTCCAGAAATTCTCCTGCCTCAGCCTTCCCAAAGGAGCCAAGACTTTATCAATTTATGCCTCCACACCTGGGCCTTCTGCATCAGAGGGTAATTATTCCAGGTGTGTGTTGCTTCCTAAGAAACATTTACAACATAGGTCTCGCTGGCACCCCTGCAACTCTAGCACGCACTAGAACATGTTGCACTCCGCCATGAAAAATGGGGTGAGGCTCATGCCGGGCGTGGTGGCTCACGCCTGTAATCCCAGCACTCGGGAGGCTGAGGCAGGAGGATCATTGCGAGTTCGAGACCAGCCTGGGCTACAAAGTGAGCTCAAGGCCGGCCTGAATGGCACAGTGAGACCCTGTCTCAAAAGACAAAAAAAAAAAAAAAAAAAAAAAAAGGGGGCTGGGGTGTGGCTCACCCCGGCACCATGCTGCACACCTGTCATCCCTGCAGTCTGAGAGGCCAAGACAGGAGGCTACAAGTTCGAGCCGGACTTGGTTGTTTTGTTTTGGGTTTCTGTGGTCTTTTTGAGACAGGCTCTCTCTCGATACGCAGTTCCAGCTGCCTTGAGCTCACTTTGTAGCCCAGGCTGGCCTCGGATTTGCAGTGATCCTCCTGCCTCAGCCTCCCGAGTGCTGGGATTTACAGGTGTGAGCCACCATGCCCAGCCCAAAGCCAATTTGGGCAATTTAGCAAGACCTAGGCTCTCTTTTTTTCTGGAGGCAGGGTCTTACTTTTAGTTTAGGTGATGGTCACACAATGCCATGAATTCCACGGACATAGAACTGCACGTTTTGTTATTCTTTTTTTTTTTTTTTGTCTTTTTCCTTTTTTATCGGTACCAGGGATCGAACTCACGACTGCCTGCTTGCAAGGCAGGCGCTTATGCCGCTGAGCTAAACCCCCAGCCCAGAACTGCACGTTTCATATTCTTTAATCTTATGGAGAGAGGGTTCACTGTGCAGGCCAGGCTGGCCTTGACCTCTCAGAGATCCTCCTACCTCAGCCTTTGGAGTGCTGGCCTGCTCCGCCACCCCTGGTTTAGAGGCATAGTGGCCCCTCCATTCATGAACTTTGCTTCTCTCCACAATTCTCACAAACCTAACCTGAATCAAATCAGATTTCCCCATAAAGCTCAACACTGAACCTAACCGTTGGATTTGATTCAGTTCTTGTTCGACTCAGTTTGCGACCAGAATTGTGGAGAGAATTGAGTTGGTAAACTGAGGCAGCACTTATGTGCTTTAAAATAGGCATGATGCATGTGTGCACAGAGTAGGGGGAGGAATAAAAACAAATCTTATTCTTTTTTATCCCTCTCTGGCCACAGAAGAGCTGAACTTTCCTGCAGATCCAGGTGATCTGATGTATACTATAGTCAGCGGACACTTTATCCTCTTGACTTCTTACTTTGAATGTGGGCAAGATGTTGGGAGCTGCAGCAGCCACTTTGCAACCAGGAGGAAAAGCCCAAGAGCTTTCACATAACTGGCAGCTCCGGTATCTGTCAGCGAATGGACCGAGACAAATTGCCATCTGTAGACCAAGGTGAGAGCCAAGTATGAGTGTGACAGGCACTTCAGTGGCTGTGATTGGTTCAGACTGACAAATGCCACAATGTACGTGTAGAGTCCGGCCGGGGCCTGCATGCTTAGTGTGACACAAAGTCAAGAATAATCTCCTGGGAGCTGGAGGAGCTAGAGAGCTCGCCTAGCATGCTAGAGGGCCTAGTTTCAACCTCTAGTACCAAAATGTTTACTTTGGCTGGGCGTAAAGTTCTGGGCTTACAGTCCAAGTTCTATGGGAAGCTGAGGTGGGAGCATTGGTTGATCCCAGGAATTTGAGATCTACCCAGGAAATGTAGGGATACCCCAGCTAAAATGTTTGTAATTCTGTTGGGAGCCACCACATTGCCGAGCCGCCGCATATAGCGATCATGCGGCCTGTGGTAAAGAGTAAAGCCTGAGTTAGATTACCCCTCCCATCGAGCACGTTAGTTTCCTGCTTACCGCGTAAACAACCCGCTCAATAATATGTTAGCCAATCAGCTTGCCTTGCTTACTTTAATATGATTGGACACTGTATCCGTATGTATACTGGTGCCACCCCTGGGGGGAAGTAGAAGCCCGGAAGGAGCCGCGGAGAGCGGACCGGTAGAGGCTTCGGAGCGAAGCACGAAAGGAGCCGCGGGGAGCGGACCAGAGGAGGCTTCGGCTGGGAGCGATCCCAGGGCAGGCTGTACAGAGAGAAAATAAAAGAAAAGGTTGTCCACTGCCAGACTTTGTCGTGTGTCCTTCCTGCCAGCCGGGAGCGACATCGACATAATTCTTTTTTCAGTACTGATGATTGAACCTAGGGTTTTTGTACTGAGTTACATCCCCTGGACTTTTATTTCTTTTTTTTGGTTTTGTTTTGAGACAAGGACTTGTGAAGGCATTAAATTGCCTGGGCTGGACTTGAACCAGGGATTTGCCTGCCTCAGCCTCCTAGGGTGCTGGTATTACAGCATGCCCCACTGTAAAGGCTCAGGTCCCTCTGTTTTTACTCTTTACCATGCGCAGTAGGCAGAATAATCGTCCCCAAAGACACCTATACCCCAAGCCCACCAGCTTCTGTCCCCTTCAGTGGCCTGAGGGTTTGCAGCTGGGGTTTGGGGTTTTGCCCTGGAGCTGGGCCATCCTCCCTCCTCAGCACCCTCACCGGGGGGTCCTTGGAGCTAGGAGAGGGAAGAGACACTCTGGCCAGCCCTAGGCTGGGGTGTGAATCCTGGCAGCCGGGCTGGAAGCAGAGGGAGCCGCCTGGTGGCCACGCTGGGCTGGAGCCTCTGACCTCCAGGATGGCAAAGGGGACAGTGGTGTGTGGGTGCCAGGCCTGGCGTGGGCCCCTGTCTGTCCTGCCCTTGCCAGGCGGGGACCGCAGAGCCTCACACACACCAGGTGCTGAGGGCTCACTGCCGAGCCCCACTCGAAGTCCCCATCAGTAAGAGGGACCACGGGTGGCATGGAGCTGGGGTCTCTTACTCCTAGGCTAAGGGGCTGCGCTCTTGTGGGTAGGGCGGCAGAGGACAAGATTCCTTGCTGGGCCAGTGGCACCTACCTGTCATCCCGGCGCTCTGGGAGGCTGAGGCGGGAGGGTGGCAAGGATGTGCAAGTTTCTGGGCAACTTAGCAGAAACTGTGCCTCAAGATAAAAAGCAGAAAGTGCTGGGAAGGCGTGTCGTGGGACAGCCCTGTGTTCCATCTCCAGTACCACTGCGCCCCCCAAATTAATCAGGACAGATTAAGTACAGGTTCCTAGGTCAGAAACAAAGCACTTCTTTTGGTTTGTTTGTTTGTTTGTGTTTTTCTTTTTTTTTGTCTTTTTGAGACAGGGTCTTGCTATGCAGCTCAGGCTGGCCTTGTGCTCAGTGTGTAGTCCAGGCTGGTCCTGAATTTGCAATGATCTGCCTGCCTCAGCCTCCCGAGTGCTGGGTTACTAACGTGCTCCAGCACGTCCCGCTGTGTCTTTTGTTTCTCTGAGACAGGGTCTCGCTGTGTAATCCAAGCGGGTCTTGAACTCACTTCGTAGCACAGGCTGGCCTGAACTTGTCAGTGATGCCTTGGCCACCTGAGTTCTCGAGTCACAGGCATGTGCTCCCACACCAGGCTCAAGAAACGGAGCATTCCTGTGCTCCAGCCACAGGAAGTGGCATGAACAGGGGTTGGCACTGGTTGCCCAGGTCTGCAGGGTACCTGGCGACCGTGCAAAGCACCCAGATGACTGTTGCGCACACAGTGGGTTCCTGTTGTCCCCTAGAACCCTGAGCTGGGAAATCGGCTGCTTTTAAAAATTGGTTTCTATTTTCCATGCTACTTCTCCACAGCCTGTCCTCCCAGAAGCAGCCACCAGGGGCACCATGAGCACTGAGCCGGTGCTTTGGTCCTCTGCCCTCAGCCCTCCGTAGCTCCCATGTCTCTAGGCCAAAGCCCAGGTCCTCTCTGCAGCCCTCAGGACCCTGCACACCGATGATCTGTCCCGCGGATCTGTCCGTAGGCGTCGCCTGGAGAGGGGACTGGGATGAAGGGTGAAAAGAGAGACGGAGACAGGATGAGATTCCAATAGAGCCTCGTTTATTCTGGAAGTGTACATGGCTTATATAGAGTCAAAGGGGATGTGGCCTTACAGGATAGGCCGGCTTGGATCTCCTCGCATGCCTGGGCCTATCAGACTAGCAGGAAGTCATATGTAGGCACATAGTGATGTCAACAAGAGGGGATTATGGGAGATGTAGGCTAAAGCGGGAAGGTGCTTACGTCATGCGCATTGTAGGCAAGGGGAGGATCATGGGAAATGTAGGCTGACACACAAAATACCCTCAGGTGGGAGGGGCAGGATAGAGGCACCCATTCTGAGCTGCTCCCTACACACTGACCCACCTTTCTCCACTTCCCCTCTTCCCTCTTCACCCCTGGGTTCCTCTGCTGCAGCCACATGGCCTCCTCTCTGCTCCTACACTGTGCCAAGCTTTGTCCTGCCCCAGGGCCTTTGCATGGCTATGCCCTCTGCCTAGAAAGCTATTCCTCCAAATATTTGTATGGGTCCTTTCCTGGCTTCCTTTAGGTCACTGCTCAGATATCTCCTAGGTGTATAAAATGTTTACTACCATCCAGATACTGCCATCCTCCAAACCCCCTGCTGAAGACTCTTGACCAAAACATTAGTCAGGCTCCTTTGAGTCCTCTGCCTGACTGGGTTGGTCATGTGTTTTCCTCTCCTTCAAGGCTCTGCTTTGAGCAAGGATCTCCAGGAATCTCTTTAGCAAAAACCCCTGCCCTTCCTGGGCATGGTGGCACACACCTGTAAACCCAGCAGTCCGCAGGCTGAGGCAGGGAGGTCACTTACAGGCTTGAAGCCAGCTTGGCTACTGAGTGAGTTAAAGGCCAGTCTCAAAAAACCAAACCAAACCAAAATGAGGGGCTGGGGATTTAGCTCAGCAGCACAAGCGCCTGCCTTGCAAACACAGTCGTGAGTTCGATCCCTGGTACCAAAAAACAAAACAATACGCAGAAGTAAAAATAAAAACCCAAAACTCTACCCTTAAGCTATTTGAAGTGGTACCACCTTTAATCCTAGCTACTCAGTAGGCTGGAGCAGGAGGGACCCCTGAACCCGGGAGTTAGAGACTAGCTAAGACAGGATAGTGAGACCCCAGCTCAAAATAACAATAAAATACCCCCCCCAAATTAGCCCTGTGGAGTGGTGGACCACTGTCATCACAGGACTCTGAGAGGCTGAGGCAGGAAGATCTCTGATTCAAGCCTGCCCTTAGGCAATTTAGCAATTTAGTGTGACTCTGTCTCAAAATAAAAAAGGCCTGGGAGCGTAGGTCCGCGTGAAGACCCTGAGTTAAATCTGCAGTACACACGGAAGGGCGGGGGACACAGACAGAGACAGAGAATAAAGAAAAAAAAGAGGCCCTACTGCGTGGCTCAGTATGTAAGGGGTTCAGAAATAGGAAAGAAAAAGAAAGCGGGCCACTGGGAGCCTCTGGGGCAGCCCTCACCCCGGCCTGGCTGGGGGAGCTGCCCGGTGCCGTGTCCCGGGGCTGGACCCCATCGTTGGCGGTTTGGGGTGTTTCCAGTTTGTGAAAGTTCCCAGGTTTCTACAGTTCATTTATGCTTTATTTTATTTTTTCCTCTTTTGCGCTCCTGGGACTGGAAGCCAGGGCGCTGGAATTACAGGTGTGCTGCCACCCTGGCGGGGTGACAGGCAGTTGAGTTAGCTTTTTCGAGCCAGAAATGGCCCTATTTAATGGTAAATGGAGGTGGCCTGGGGCGGGCACTGGGCTGGCATGTATGAGGCCTGGGTCCATGCCCAGCCCAGGGAAAATACACATAGATGTGGTGGGCTTGGTGACACACCCAGTAACTTCAGCACTGGGGAGACTGAGGAAGGGGGACCCCCATGAGGCTGAGGTCGGTCGGGGCTACATAATGCATTCGAGATTAGCCTGGGTAACATAGCAAGACCCTGGCTTGGCTCAAAAAAACAAAAACCAAAGCCGGGTGTGGTGGCTCACGCCTGTGATCCTAGCACTTGGGAGGCTGAGGCAGGAGGATCACCCGTAGTCCAGACCAGGCTGGGCTACATAGCAAATTTAAGGCCAGCCTGGATTACAGAGCAGGAGCCTGTCTCCAAAAACAAACAAAAACCAAAACCAAATGAACAAACAAGAAAAAATCCAAGCAAAAAGAACACAAATATCAAACAATCCCACCTCAGCCTCCCAGAGAGCTGGGATAACACTCCGTATCATCGTGTCTGGCTGTTTTATTTTAACCTGTTCTTGTTCAAACTGTGAGATGAGAAAGGGTTTTTACATGGTTAAAAAATCCAAAGAATAGTAGTTCATGTCACAGGGAGATTCTATGAAATTCCTCTTCCTTTCTCTCTGTTTTTTTTTTTTGTTGTTGTTGTTGTTACTGGGGATCGAACTCACAGCCAAGCACTTGCAAGGCAGTGCTCATGCCATTGAGCTAAATCCCCAGCCCCTCCTTCCTTCCTTCCTTTCTTTCCTTTTCTTCTCCTTTCTTTTTTTATCTTTTTGGAGGCAGGATTTCACTATGTGATTCAGGCTGGTCTTGAACTCACTTTGTAGCCCAGGCTGGCCTCCAACTCACAGCGATCTTCCTGCCTCAGCCTCCTGACTTTTTGTTTTGTTTAGATTTGCTTTGTTTTTGCAGTACTAGAGGCTGACCCCAGCACCCGAGCAGTCCTTTTGATGTCTTATTTGAGACAGAATCTTGCTGGATCACTAAATTGGCTGGGCTTGAGCTTGGGATCCTCCTGCCTCAGCCTCCCAGCAGTTGGGTGGCAGGCATACAGCACCATATTAGCCCTTCTGTCATACAGCCAGCTCCCAGGTGACAGGGATTTGAGTTTCCTCCCTTCACAGCTATGTTCTCCAATTCTTTTGAAATTTTGAGTTAGAGTCTCACTAAGATGAGCAAGCTGGCCTGAAAATAACATTGTTTTTTTGTGATATGGTCTCCCTGTGCAGTCCAGGTTGGCCTGGGACTCACTGTGTAGCCCAGACGGCTTTGAATGCTCTGCGAGCCTCCTGCCTCAGCTTCCTGAGTGATGGGATTACGTGTGATTTTTTGCTTTTTGTTTTACTTTGGAGAAAGGCGCTCTGTACAGTGGCTAGGGCTGACTCCGAACCCGAGCTCCTCCTTCCTCAGCCTCCTGAGTCCTCCTGCAGTAGGACTGTTTCCTTGTGAGTGGGATTTGGCTCCACCCCTAATAGCTGCGGGACCTTTGGTGTACGGTTTAACTTCTCTGGAGGAGTAGCAGGCACGTTATTCTAGCCCTCTGCAAGGCTGAAGCAGGAGGATTACAAACCCAGAGCCCAGCAATTTAGCAAGGCGCTTATCTGAAAACAAAGAAACAATTTAAAGCCGGGAGGCTGGGGCGGGAGGATTGCTGTGAGATAGCAGGCCAGCCTGGACTGCATAGGCCAGTTTAAGGTCAGACTGGACTATGCATAGAGACCCCGTCTCAAACACCAAAACAAAAAAGTGGACCCGAGCTGCGCGCAGTGACGACAGGTGGCCAGTAGGGGCCGCTGCTTCAGCTCCTTGCCCTGCTTTAGCCGCAACGGGCGCATGCGCAATGGCGCCTTCCTGCAGTGGTGTTTTTTTTTTTTTTTTCCTTACCCTTGGTTCCCCGCCCTTTTACCTCTAAGCCTGAATTTATTACTGCAGACTTTGAACCTGGTTGCGTTTCATTTTGCTCTATGCTCCTGTACAGGGCGGTGAAGGTCGGGAGAGGTCATCTGGCTGCATCCCTAGGGCCACCTGTCTGGTGGGAAGGGCTTGGATTTTCCTAGTCCCTCCTTCCCCGATTCTTTAGTTTACATTAGAATTTCTCAATAAGCAAATTCCACCTTTTTACTCCTCTCCGCTGTAGTGTGTGGCCCTGGGGATGGGACCCGCGACCTTTGCACAGAGCCACATCCCAGCCCCCGCCTTTTTATTTTTTATTTATTTATTTTGTGGTACCGGGGATCGAGATCAGGACCTCGCACTTGCCAGGCAGGCACTTATGCCGCGGAGCTAAATCCCCAGCCCCTTTCGTTTTTTGAGACAGGATCTCACAATGTCACTAAGTTTCCCAAGCTGGACTCGAACTGTGATCCTCCTGCGGGGCTCCCGGAGGGCTGAGATGACAGGTGTGCACTCCTACACCTAGTTTCGACCCGTAATTTTTTATGAAAATTCTTGCGTTATTGCTCTGAAAAAACCTGACCTTTTTTGTTTTGTGTTGTGTTGGAGACAGGGTCTCCCTATGTAATTCAGACTGACCTTGAACTCACTATGCAGCCCTGGCTGGCCTCGAACTCGCGGCAGCCTTTCGGCCTCAGCCTCCCCAGTGCTGGGATTACAGGGTGCACCACCACACTGGGCAAGACCCCACTTTTAAGGAGAAAACGGCTGCACAATGCCTAATCTGGGGTTCAACACACAGTAGGTGCTGGGTGGAGTTTAAGATTGATAGAAAATTATTCACGATGCAGATTGATAGCCATCTGCTGGAAACACATCCCTCCACCTGCTGACCTGGTTTGGCTGTGTCTCCTGCCTCTCTAAGACTAGCATTCAATAGTTTCCCTGTAGGGTGAGTGACATTGCAGCGGTAACCCCTAGTTGTATGAAAGCTAGCCTGGACCAGCCTTTACCCAGCGGAGAGGGGCCCTGTGCAAGCCTCTTTTGGAGCTCGGACTTAAAATTGCTTTTTTTTTTCATTAGAAACAACTCCTCCTCCTCACCCAGTCCCAGAAAAGCGCTGCACTGTTCTGCTTTTTTCTTCGAGCAAGTTTAAAGGGAAGAGTTACAGCGGGAAGTTGATTTGCACAAATCAGAACATCATTCATGAAGGGAAGAAATAATAAGGCCCTACTATGTGCACCGAAACGAGCGATCTGTTAAAAAAAAAAAATCACAGACACAGCGCTGAATGTCAGTTCATTTCCTCGGCCTGGAAATCTGAAATCCTTTCAGGGTCAGCTTAGGACACTGATGCTCAAAAATTTTCAGGCGCCTCCCTCTGGTCAGAAAGTGAAGCAGAAACCGGGAGTGGAAAGCGTTTAGACACAAGCTAAATCCTGGAATAAGTAACTATTCTATCAATAGCAGCCAAATTTAATTAAAATAGATACCATCGTTGGGACACTAGGTGTAAGACACAGTGCTAACCCTTTATACATAAAGTTAATCATCTAACTCTTCCCCACCAGTGAGAGAATATTACCCCCCAGTTTGGCCCTAAG